CATCTCACTTCCTGTGTGGTAAATGAACTCCTTGATTTTATTTGTTTGGGGCAGGGTATTGCTGTGTAGCCCAGACTGGGCTCTTAACTCACAATCCTCCTGCCTCAGCCTCCTGAGTTCCAGGGTGCAGGAATTACCTGTGTGTGCCCCTATGCCAGCTTTTTAAAATAAACTTTTATAATTGACTTATAGTTTACATAAAATTCATCCTTTGTAGAGTATAAAATCTGTTCAGTGTTTTTAGTAAAATTACAGTTTGTGTAGTTACTATCAACGTATTCCAGAATATTTTCATCCCCAAACAGAAACTCTGTACTAGTTATTTGCAGTTACTCCTTCCCCAGCAACCGTTGATCTCCTTTATGTCTGTGTAGATTTACCTGCTTGGAACATTACATACAGATAGAAGCGTGCAGTATGTTTTGCCTTTCTGGTCTTGCCTCTCTCACTCAGCACAATGTTTTCAAGGCTCATCCGTGTTGTAACTTTATCAGTACTTTATTCCTTTTTACTACCAAATAATAGTCTGCTGTTTTGTGTACTCATTCATCAGTTAATAGACCGCGGGATTGTTTGCGCTTTTTGGTCATTGTGAATTCACTGCTGTGAGCATTTGTGTTCCATTCTTTCTGGTGTACAGTGAGGAGTAGAATTGCTGGATCCCGTTGTAGCTGTTTACCTATCTGAGGAGTTGCCATTGTTTCCCACGCCAGCTACACCATTTGCAGCCCCATTGGCATTGCTTAAAAAGGCTCTCATTTCATCACATCCTTACCAACATTTCATAATTCTTTCTTCTCACCCACTCCGCCTGTGCTATAATCTAACTCAGGGCCTGGTGCCTGCCAGGCAAGGGTGCTGTACCGCTGAGCTACATCCCAACTGTTGGGTATGCTTCCAGTTACTTTTGTATAGTTGGAGGGTTCCTGTACACCCCTCAGCCAGTTTCAGTAGCATTTTCATTATGTGGTAGAGTGACACATGAGCCACAGTTACTGAGCCAATATTGATAGCGTTACTAACTAAAGTCCTTCCTTGACATTTTCTTAATCTAGTGAGCTGTTTCTGTTTCAGGATTCTATCCAGGATACCATATTGCTGTTTAGTGTAATCTCTCCTTCCCTCATTATTTCCCTTTTTGTAAAGTTCTTATTACCTTTGTTAATTTTTATTTTGTTTTCACTTTTTTTTTTTTTTAAACTGGTCTTGAACTCAGGGCCTACACCTTGAGCCATTCCACCAGCACTTTTTTGTGATGGGTTTTTTCAAGGTAATGTCTCTCAAACTGTTTGCCCAGTCTGGCTTCCAGTTGTAGTCCTCCTGAGTAGCTAGGATTGCAGGCATGAGCCACTGGTGCCCTGCTTATTTTTTCTTTTTTGAGACAGGCCTATAGCCCAGTCTGGCCTTGAACTCACAGTCCTCCTGCCTTAGCCACCCCCCCCCATATGCTGGGATTGCAGGCATTTACCGCAGTGCCAGGCTAGAAACTTTCTTTGGGATTTTTTGTTTGTTTTGGTGAGATTGGGGTTTGAACTCAGGACTTTGCACTTACAAAGCAGGTTCTCTACTGCTTGAATCACACTTTCCAGTCCATTTTGCTTTGGTTATTTTAAGATTGGGTTTCTTGAACTGTTTTCCTGGGTTGGCTTCAAACTACAATCCTTCTCTTTTCAGACTCCCAAGTAGCTAGAGATACGGGCATGAGCTCCTGGCCAGAAACATTTGTGTATTGAGAATATTCGTATTTAAGTGTAAAGCGTATTGGCCTTGGCTTAATACTAAGTACTACGGTTTAAAATTTGAATTTGTAGACTGGCAGAGTGGTTCAAGTGGTAGGGCACCTGCCTAGCAAGCATGAGGACTTGAGTTCAATTCCCAGTACTGCCAAAAAAAATCTAAACAAATACTTGAATTTGTGAGGAAGTGGTAGAGGAATTTGTAATTAATCTGAATTACTCTGGTAGCAAAAAATTGCTTCGCAGTGTCTTTTTCCTGTAGAGTTACATAGAAGTATTTCCTATATTTCGAGACCCTTCCTGTTTCTAATGGACCTTTTTTGTTGTTGTTTTTGGGTTTTTTTTTTTCTTTTGGGTACTAGGGATTGAGCCTAGGACCTCATGAATACTAGGCAAGCTCTCTCCACTGAGCTATATCACCAGTCCCTTACTGGAGGGAAAGAATCAAGTCCTCTTCACCTTAGTATTTCTGTACCATAAGTCAGCTGTTGGTGTAACTACTGCTGGTTCAGTTGTCCCCCGTCTCTCCCCCAGTTTGTGTCACTTCTGAAGCTCTGACAGTGTGCTTGCCCTGCACATTTCTCTGGACATTCATTGTTGACTCACAGGTAATGTGACACTGCTTTTACAGTTTTTTCAGAATTTTGGACCACCGCTAGACATTGTCGTATATTTGAAATTCTGTTTCTCTTATTCTTCTAAATGTTTCTAGTTGTTTCTACTCAATAAAACATAGTAAGTAAATCCTAAATAAAACTTCCTTTGGTCATAGATTATTTTGCTATCCTGAAAACTTTAGCGGCTTCAGTTCTCTAAAGAAACAGTGTAAACTGATAGTGTGCTATGTGCAATGATTCCTGTAGGCTAAAAGAGCAAATCTGTCCCTCCATCCTCCCCTAAGATGTGGAAGCAGAATTGTAAGGAGCAACATGCATGCTCCTCACTAGGCCTGCTGGGAGAGGGGCAGAGGTCACAGCACATGGTACTGAACTTGTGTGTGTTGTCTTTTTGCTTTATTGTGAAAATGTTTAAATGCGCACTGAGAGATGATAGTTTGTGCTGAGGCATGCATATGAGCAGGTACATGCATCACTAGTGTGTGTACATGTGTATGTGCACATGTGTACTTCCTGACTGTGGGGAAAGGGCCTACAGCAAACGAGGATGCCCAGCTCCCAGGTGTTGGCTTGTTTATACCATTCCCCACTTACAGGACTAGAATTTTTCAGAGCAGAGGCTGGCTCCGTGGCTGGGACAGGATGGGTGTGAGAAAACCACAAAGTGAGGCAGGGAGTGTTTTTTGGTTTTTTTTTTTTTTTTTTTTTGAGATAGGGTCTCACTATGTAGGTCAAGCTGACCTTGGATTTCAGATCCTTTTGCCTTAGCCTCCTAAACATCAGGATTTTAGGCATACACCATCACACCTAGCTTAAGGTTGCACTTTAAAAAAAAGATGGGGGCATGTTGAAAGGATGTTTGAGCCAGCTTGAAGAGGTTCCCACTAGCAAAGTGTAGGTCAGTTTGGGCACCAAAATAATTAAGGGCATTAATGAATTATGAACCAGTGGAAAAAATCTGTGAGTCCATGTCAATGTATAGAGTAAATGGAGGAGAAGGAAATGCCAAGTTGTGACAGGTAGATTTGGAGAGAGGGCCAGAATTGGAACCCAAAAGTGGCATAGGCATGAATCATGAGGAGACACCAAGTTAGGGAGACTTCATTAAACTCAGATACTTGAATGATTTTTGAGGTGACCCTGTAGATTGCTTACTAATTGCAAATGGGAAACCAGATCACACCTCTTCCACGTGATCAGAATTAACATCACTGCTTAGGAGCTGCGATGATGCTCTGAGAAAAACATTTCTTAGGTTCTCTTAGGTGAATATGCTATTCCAGGGATACTTAACCTCAGTCAGGGGCAAACATCAGACAAACCCAAAATGAATAATGTTCTCTTTAAAAAAGGCTATAACCTGGCATAGTAACTCATGCCTGTCATCCTAGCACTCAGGAGGCTCTGGCAGGAGAATTGAGAGTTAGAGGCTAGCCTAGGTAGGCTGTATAACAAGTTCCAGCCCATCTTGGGCTACATAGCAAGATCCTGTCTCAAAAAAAGAAAGCCTTTTAAAATGTCAGTGTTGTAATAGACAAAAGTTGTAGAAGTGTTTCAGATTAAAGGAGCCCAAAGAAGACAGGCAGAAAATCTAATTCTAGACCTAGGCCTGTGTTGGGGAGTGGTGGAGTAAAAATAAAGGAAAGGACATTACTGGGTCAGTGGATAAAATTGGAATTGGGAGGGTAGATTAAAGTATTACAGCTGCAGTTATGTAGAACCAACAGGCCTCTGACCCAGGGCCTGCAGAAGTCAGGCTCTGTCTTCCAAGGCATCCAGTGTGTGATGGGTTGGCTTCTGTCCTCCTTGTCTAAAATGATACTGGCCTCCTACCATCATTGTCCTTGAGAGAATGGAAAAACAGTCACTCAGATCATTTTCTGTAGAACCAAGTTTACTCCTGGAATTGGGTAAGACATTGTGAATGAACACTTCCTTTTATGAAATAGTACCCAAGTGCATAGTGGAAAAGGACCTGACTTAGCAACTTACTCTGAAATGCTTAAAAAGTTAGAAGTGGAAATGGTAACAGCATATGAATCCACATAAATAGTATATGAGTGTTTTCTGTGCTTTTTTTTATTCTTGCAACTTTATTTTACACTAAAAAAAAAATTATCCCTTTGTAAGATTTATCTGCCATTTAATGAGGTGGGTTTAGCTGGAGGTCTTATGTAAGGTGAAGCTTCTGTGCCTTACTGAGCATTCACTGTCATGGACCTTGTGGGGCAGTGATGTATGAGATTCCTGCTCTGGCTGGGCATGGTAGCAAACACCTGTAATCCCAGCTATGTGGGAGCATACATAGGAGGGTCACTGTCTGAGGCCAGCCCCATGCAAAAGCTGAGAGACCCCTTATCTGAAAATAAACTAAAGCAAAAAGGCCTTGGGGACATGGCTCAAGTGGTAGAGCACCTGCCTAGCAAGCACAGGCCCTGAGTTCATACTCCAGTACACCAAAAAGGGAAAAGAAGAGAAAAAGATGCTTGATCTTCTAAGTCCAGTCCCTTCTAGAATAAACTGAAGTATAAATATGAATCGTGTGAAATACTGAATGTAGGCACTCAGTTACCAAGAGCAGAAGCAAGCTGAGAGTGTATGGCCTGAGGAATGTGATTGAAAACCCCCATTTGATTTCTCTTTTTAGGAGGAGCTCTTGGATATAAAGGAACGACCACATTCGAGACAGAGGCCTTCATGCCTCTCCGAAAAATACGACAGGTATGGCTGTCATTCTAAGTCATTAACTTCTCGTGTTAATTTTTTTGTTATACCACACCTGGTATATTAAGATACATTGTTTTGAGGTTCTTTTGGTAGAATTATAAATGAGGGAGGGATGTAAAGAGGGGACACATGAGCTTCATCTAACCAGTTATGAAACTAAAACTAGAAAGTAACTTGGCAAAGTCAGAGAGCAGAACAAAGACTTGAACCTAAGAGTCCTCACCCAGGGTCTTTTCTCCAGACCTGTGGTTCATTTTTTTTTTCTTTCTTTCATTTATTTTACTATTTTTACATTTACTTACATGTGTATACATTGTTTGGGCCACTTCTTTTCCCCCTTTCCCCCACCACCCTGACCTGTGTTTCTTGCACTGTGCTTTGAGGTCCTTTTTCAAGGGCCTGCTCCAGGGATGCTGATCAGGACAGCTCTGAACCCTTTACTGGTGCCCCCTCAAGAACAAAGGACTGTTCTGTCATTCAGACTTCTTACTGCATTTTAGGGTCCTTTAGAAAAGGTAAGGCTTTGATTTGAAGAGACTGCAGCTAGACTTGTCTAAAGCCTTCTGCAGCGATCCTCTTTGTACTTACGGTCACCTTAGTCGTTTCTGAAATATCAAGGGAGGTGGTTCGTATTGGCATGCATTTTTAACAAAATGTCTGTCATATTATGTTTAGTTATTTAGTTGAACAGCCACACTTGTTTTTTTCTCCCTAGTGCTGGGGATGGAACCCAGGGTCTCCCTCTTGCTAAGCAAGTGTTCTACCACTGAGCTCCATCCCCAGTTCAGGTACCTAGGTACCTCACTACATTTCCATGATGAAGGTGATATTAGAATAATGACTGCTCTGATTGGCTAGGATTTTTTCATGAGTCTCAGCTGTAGAGTTTTGTCTTTGTTTTTCATTAAAACTGTAAAGCCTTTTTATACCTAAGGTTGTTACAACTCTACTTCTTCTTAGTATAAAATAAAGTTATCCTGTGCAGACATATTAGCTAAAAATAAGAGATGGCTAGGTGTGATGGTGCATGCCTGTAATCTGGCACGCTAGAGGATCCCAAGTTTCAGTCCAGCCTGAGTGGGGAGAAGGAGTAGAGAAGAGTACCGTGTTCTTTTGTTTCTCCTCTTTTCAAGAATGCAGGTTCATTGACCTCTTAAACTCTAAGTGATCTTCACAAACCCCCTACTAGATAGATAAAAGCTCTTTTGTCATGAAAGGTGTGTGACTGAAAGATCAGCTTACTTTCCCAAGAATTGGCTGAGGGTTTTGGTCAGCACAGCACTTAACTATATACACAAGATCCTGGGTTCGACTTCCAGCGCCACCAAAGAAAGAGAAAAGAGAAATGTTGAGCTGGTACCTGCTCCATAGTAAATACTGTGCCTCTGTGGAATGTTGGCCCGTGGAGGGAGATGATCAATTTCTCCTGAGAGTTTATCGTTAAATCCACTGCAGCTGAGAAGGACAAATGCGGAGAATGGTGCCCATATGTAGAGACCCCACAGGACCTGTGGTCTGGTCTGGGGAAGACAAGGCCTAGTAGCTTGTCCAGCATGTCCGTGGTGGTGAGGACAGAGCTAGAATGTGACCAGATTGCTGGGCTTCAAATCTTCTCTGTGCACCTCGTTGGAAAAGGAATCACATCAAAAGCTTACACTGCAGTCCTGCTTGTGGACAGTGAGATTCTGCATGGACATTCTGGTTCCCAGAGATGCTTCACGTGAAATGGTTGAGCGTTGTTCTCTCTCTCCCAGCCATTCTTAGTCAACTGAGCCATCGATGTTTATGGAACAGCTTTGTGTGGAACAGGCACAGTCCCTGTAATCCACATGGACTCCAAGGTTTGCGGAGTGAATGCTGCAGACAATTGGTTTTCAAGGGCCTATTGGCGTTACCCTATCAACAGAGTATTACGAAATTAATAGTTTGGGGTTTTTGTTTTATTGTTTGTTTTGTTTTGCTTAAGACAAGGTCTCACTGTGTAGCCCAGACTGGCCTCAAATTTGCAGTCCTTCTGCCTTAGCCTCCTAAGGGCTGGGATTACAGGTCTGACCTAGAGTGCACAGCCTTAATGGTTTTGTTTTCATCTTAAAAGAGGTGACTGTTCCACAGAGGCGTGGCAGTAAAGTGCTGCACTCAGGCCCCAGTCACACTTATAGCTATTCTGAGGCCACTGTGAAGTTTTACATTGGAAAGGGGTTTACCATAACTTACTGCCTGGAGAGGCCTAGTGGTTGAACCACCTTGTCACGACTGCAGATGCTAACGGTTAATACCTTCTGGTCTGCAGCGATGGCGTCTGGGACCCTGAGAAGTGGCACGCCTCCCTGTACCCCACGTCTGGACGGAGCTCCCCAGTAGAAAGCCAGAAGAAAGAGCTGGATGCTGACCGACCATCCCTGGTGCGCAGGGTAGCAGGTGAGTGACGCTTCCGGGTGGCACAGTGATTTGAGTTTCATCCATAGCTGTGGGAAGGAATCAGCGGGAAACTGATTTACCTGTTCCTAATGACAAGGTAAGACCATAACCTTCCTTGTCCTCCATAGCCCTTCGTTGACATGCTCACCTGAGTTAGGAGTTGTAGGTAACACAAAGCTGTTCAGAAAATCCCCTCCTGCTTCAGCTCCTGGGACTCATCCTCAGGTATAAATCAGTTCTTTCAGCTATGAATTCGTAGTGGGCTGTGATGAGGCATGGGACGTGGAGAGCTGGTGAGACTAAAGTCTGGTTTTTCTGTCCCTTTTCCCTTTACACTGGAAAAGGTATCCAGGGGTGAAATGGAGGCCTGGCAATAGGAAGGAGGTCAAGGAACTTGTTGCAAGAAGTCCTTCTGACAGGAGGGTAAAGCAGGTCTTTTCCAGGGATGGGTGCCAGCAGGAGGGGGCGGGCATAAGGGAAGGGTGAGTGAGGGTGAAAATGGTGGATGTAATTCCTGTTCATATAGGAAAGTAAAAGAATGAAACCTGTTGAAATGGTTCTAAGAAGGGGGGAGGGAGAGTAAGGGGTGAATCTAAGATACTGAAAGCACGTATGTAAAGATCACGATGTGCCTCCTGTACCTTTCTGTATACCCCATTCTGTGCTAATAATTTTTTTTAAAGTCCTTTTGTGATAAGACTCATAAAAATTTAGAACTGAGTAGGAAGGTATAGTTGACTCTGGGTGGAGATGAGAGATTATTCTATAAAGTCTTACCAGTTCACTTGGTGTGGCAGTGTCCTCAAAATTTATTCTAACAGAATCATGAAAGAATATGCACAGAGATTTTATTAAGATGATGAAAACGTAGAAGGAACCTAAGTGTACAATAGTGGACATGAGTTGAGCAAACGTTGGCATATCCACATGTCGGGATAAATTCCTGGTCTGCTTATCAGAACACGCTGCACATGACGGTGCTAATAAATCACACCATAACCTAGTCATAAGAGCTTCCACCTTCATCTTGTATGCCAAAGAGCTGAGACGACAGTGCACAGAAATCTGCAAAAGTATATACCAAAACATTCCAGGACCTATTTCTGGTGACAGGATTACTTCAGTTTTCTGCGAAGAGATTTTTTTTTTTTTTTTTGGTAACACTGAGGTTTGAGCTCAGGACTTTGCATTTGCAAAGCAGGAGCTCTATCGCTTGAGCCACACCTCCAGTCCATTTTGTTCTTGTTAGTTTGGAGATGGGGTCTCTCAAACTATTTTCCCTGACTGGCCACAAACCTCCATCCTCTCAATCTCAGCCTCCCAAGTAGCTAGGATTACATGCATGAGCCAGCAGCACTGGCTGAGATATTTTGTAATGTTTGACAATGTTTGACACGTTTTTTTCTTACACCTTTATCAAGATACAATTCACACGCAGTGGCCTGCACGTACAGTATGTCATCCAATGTCTTTTTTAATTTGTAGTACTGGAGTTTGAACTTAGGCCCTTAGACTTGGTAGGCAGGTACTCTAGCACTTGAGCCACATCCACAGTCCCCATTGATGCCTTGACATGTATATACACTTGTGAACCCATTACCACAGTCAAAATAACAAATGTCCATTACCACCCCCCACCAAAAAAAAAGTTTCCTAGTATCTCTTAGTCCTTCCTTTCACTCTTCCTCATACTTTCCTCCTCAGGCAAGCAGTGAACTGCTTTCTGTCACAACAGATCAGTTTTGATTTCATAGGACTGTGTGTAAATGGAATTTGTTATGATACATAATTTTCATGTGTACCTTCTTTCCCTCACCAGTAATTCTTTTGAGACTTGTCCGTGGACTGTATAAACAGTTTGTTCCTTTTTGTCTGTTAGTGTCCCGTTGTGTGCATTCATCAGTCTATTCATTTATCAGCTGATGAGTGAGTTTAGGTTGTTTCTGGTTTTTAGCTGCTGTTCATGTGCTGTTCGTGTACAAGTCTGTATGGACATAGCTTTCTGATCTCTTGGGTAATTATCAAGTAGAATGACTTTTGTACACAGATGTATCTATGATGTCCTGGGTGTTTTGTTTTGGTTTTTTTCCTCCTACTACTTGGAGTTGAACTCAGGGCCTTGTGCTTACTAGGCAGGTATTCTGCCACTTGAGCCATGACCCCAGGCTGTATTTAATGTTTTGGGAACCTGCCAAACCTTTTCAAAGTAATTGTACCATGTTTCATTTCCACAGCAGCATGGGAGAGCTCTGCTTGCTCCCCATCCTCACCTGCTGGTATAGCCAGTTCCTTTCAGCTTTCCTGACAGGTGTGGGGTGGCATCATGTGGTGTCGTTTGCTCTTTCCTAGTGACTGTTGAGTATCTTCTCAGATGCTCTCTCTCTTTGTTGAAGTGTCTCTTCAAACCATTTGTCCTTTTTTCCCTACCTTTTTGAGACGTCATGCTACATAGCCAGGAACTTACGTGTAGACCATGGTGACCTCAGCCCTGGGCTCCTCCTGCCTCGACCTCCCAAGTGCTGGGATCACAAAGCTCACTTGTCTAATTTTTACTTGAGTTGTGTTGTATTATAGAATTTCTAAAAGTTCCTACATACTCTGGAAAAAGGTCCTTTATGAGAAATGCTGTGAAATATTTCCTCCCAGTCTGTGGCTTGTCTTTGCAGTCTCTAAACAGTGTCTTTCAAAGAACAGAAGTCATTAAGTTTCGATCAAGTGCTGTTTATCAGTTTTTGTTAAATGGATCATATTTTTGTCATGCCTGGGGTGGGGGAAACAAAACTTGAACCTTCTTCTATAAGTTTTCAGTTTAGATCTGTGATACATTTTGAATTGATTGTTGTATAATAAACCAGGTGTGACGTTCATTAAAATGTTTATGACAAATGCTAAATGACTAAAAATGCTTTTTAAGCATTTTTTTCAAATACTGACATCCATTGTAGTTTATTAGTGGACAGACTGTTCGCTAATAATTACATAGTTAAGGTCTTAGCCAAAATATAGGCATTGCTGGGACTAATCACAGATGATCGTTTATTGTAAAGTACTTACTGCTCCAGAGAGAGAAAGCAGAATCCTCAGTCTTAATTCAATTTGTAATATACATGTGATTTTGCAACGTGTGCTACACATGTCTCCCGAATCTGTAAAGCCCAGTTTTGGTGATGACTCTTTTCTAACCCTTCCCCTCCCCATGCCAGTCATGGACGTACCACCTCAGGGACAGAGACACCTTTGTGCTTTGCTTACCTTTCTCTTTCCGGCATCTTTCCAGATCCAAGAGAACGTGTGAAAGAAGATGACCTGGATGTTGTTCTCAGCCCACAGAGACGAAGCTTTGGAGGGGGTTGCCACGTGACAGCTGCCTCTAGCTCCCGACGCTCAGGAAGTCCTTTGGAGAAGGATGGTGATGGGCTTCGCCTGCTCGGTGGACGAAGGATCGGCAGTGGGAGGATAATCTCTGCTCGGACCTTCGAGAAGGACCACCGTCTCAGTGATAAGGACCTGCGGGACCTGAGAGACCGGGACAGGGACTATAAGGACAAACGTTTCAGGGTTCGTCCCCTAGACTCTGGGGCTACTTGCGGGGGCTTGATGCTCAACTTCATCTGTACTGGGGGGCGGGGTGTTGCTGGGGGGTGGTGTTTGCTCTTTTTGCAATGTTGGTTTTCAAAGCAAGGTCTCCTATATGCTAGGCAAGTTCTCTACCACTGAGCTACATCCCAAGCCCTATGGCATTACTTTGAGAACCCAGATGAACACAGCCTACTGTTAAACTAGACAAGGAGAAGTAGAGCTGGGTGGGCAGAGGGAATGGGGATGGCCTTGAGGCCACAGCACAGTGACTTCAATGTACTCTTCAGCGCTGCTTCATTCACTAAAACCTGATTAAGGTACAAATGCTTCAACTAGAACTTTTTTAATCTTGCTTTTTGTACTTTTCCAGAGGGAGTTTGGGGATAGCAAGCGTGTCTTTGGAGAGCGTAGAAGAAATGACTCATACACGGAAGAAGAACCAGAGTGGTTCTCAGCTGGACCCACAAGTCAGTCTGAAACCATTGAGCTGACGGGCTTTGATGATAAGCTCCTAGAAGATGATCACAAAGGCAGAAAGAGAGCAAGGCGACGCACAGCCTCTGTGAAGGAAGGTGAGCACAAACCTTAGGGGGAGGCCACTGTTGTAGGTGAGGCACAATTACCGTTGGCTGAATTGAACACTTAGGACTCACCTGTCACTCAGGAGGTAGTGAACTTGGAAGGTACGCACCATGCTTTTAGACTTCAGAGCCCCCCTTCTTCTCCATGGTGGTAGATTTGCCTTTCTTCAAACTTGGTTTTCACAGCTATAAGATAAATTCCTTGCTGAACTGAAGGAGCCAGAGCTAATATATGTGCAGAGGCTGTTACGGAATAGGTACCCATATCTACCAGAAATTGTTTTCAGGGCAGTGACCTGGCTGTGCGGTGACCAGCTGCACTGATTACTGTTCTGTGCGCACCATGGTGAAGAGCCAAGAGAGCAAGCCTGTATTTCAGTACTGGGACTGCTGCTAAGGAAAAGCACAAGTCTTTCACAAAACCTTAGTGCACAGCTTGTTTGTTTGTAAGGTGACACATTCCCTGCAGCATCTCTAAGCATTCCTTAGCACTGAGGGTGAAATGTGTGCATCGGCGCTCAGCCCCGCTGGCAGTTGCTCAGGAGTGTCTGCTCCCGTCAGCATTCACATTTGGTTGGAGAACACTTTTGACAGACACTAGGCAACAAGAGCAGAAAGCTGTGTTAATACGTAAGTGCAGAATCAGTGCCAACTTGAATTTATGAGCTAATGGAATTTATTTAGACAGAGGCTAAAAGAAGGGAGAAATCACATCACTTGTCCTTTTTTGTAAATTCTTGAAAATATAGTACTAAGCTGGGTGCCAGTGGCTCACACCTCTGATCCTAGTTACTTGCGAGGAGGAGAATTTCGATTCAGGGCCAGCCCAGGCAAATAATTATCAAGACCCCATCTTGAAAAAACCGAACACAAAACAGGGCTGTTAGAGTGGCCTAAATGCTAGAGCATTTGCCTAGCAAGTGTGGCCCCAAGTTCAAACACCAGTACCACCAGGAGAAGAAGAAAAAAAAAATTAGTAGACATTGCTGTTATCTGTGTGCTGTCACACTTTCCTGTAGTGATGCAGGAACTTGATAGGTAACTTGGACTTTGTAAATTAATTGCCTTTGAAATATGTCTGTTTCTTTTGGTACTGGGGCTTGAACTCAGGGCCTTGTACTTGCTAGGCAGGTGCTCTGCCACTTGAGCCATGCCCTCCAGCCCCTTCATCTTATCTTCAGTGAGACTAAAGCAGCACCAGCCAGTGTGGCTTTTTACCTAATGATGAAGACCAGGCTTCTGGAAGAAAAAAGCATTTTTCATAACTGAAATGAAATTAGATTTTAGCTGTTCCTTTTGACAACAAGTGGAGGAGCCAGAAAGTATGCAACAGATGGAGAGTGATCCCTCCTCTCCTTACGGATTTAGGGAGATTGAGGCCTGGAGGGAATATTGCCCAAGACATCATCCTATCCTGGGATCATGGGAGAACTCGAGTCCAGGAGACTTGGCTTACCATTAGATAACTGCCAAAGATTCCTAGGCTGTTGAAGGTACTGCATAAAATGAACAAGTGCTTGTACATTTATCTGGCCGAAAAAGCCAAAGAGTTGGTATTTATACCTAGGGAGAAGGTAGGATGAGGGCCTTCTAGTTCATTTTTGTGTCCGTACTCTAGTGTTTTCATGACCTTCCTGTATAGCTGTTCTGTGTGGGCACACGCTAGTGTTGGGAAAACAGCAGTGAGCAAGGCAAACATGGGCCACAATTGCATGAGTTCAGAACAGGAAATGTATTACACATCCACTTTACAGGGCTTGGTGCTATGTAATGTGTGTATATGGTGATGAATAAAACAGATCAAATAGGTATTAATTATAAAGACTTTCATTGGTAGAAAAGAAAATTTTGGTTATCACCCTCTCTGAAGTATAAATTTATTCTGAAATATAGTAAAACTTACACCTGTAATTCCAGCATTCCAGAGGCTAACTGGAGAATTGATTGTGTGAGGCAAGCCTGGTTGTCATAGCAAGACCCTGTCTCAACAACAACAATAACAAAAGTAAAAGTTGCCTTTAGTTATTCTTACCTGCTCCCCTGGCATTGAGTTTGTCCTAATAAATGGCCAGTTGTCTGTGTGCCATGCCCACTCTCAGGTGCAGACAGTCTGCTCTCCAGAGAACTTGAAGTAGGCATGAAATTGCTTATGGCGACATGCTTTGCAAAAGACAGTCACTTGGTAAAACTGTGTCCAATCTCAACACAAAGTTGAAAGAACAAAATACAGATTCTTCTGACTCTTTAGAGTGGGAAGCGGCACTACAGCAGAATGCCTATTGCTTGTCCTGGAGGGCAGGTAGGTTGGAGGGGTAAAGTCGGCAAAGAGAAACGTGACACCAATTAGGTGAGGACTAAGTTTCTTCGTAAATCGGGGTGAGTCCTCCTCTAGAGCAGTAATTTTGGTGTGACCATTTTTATAGCATTTGCCTCTGGGGCTGGGGGCAGGTGTGCGCTGACCCACTGGAGACTGCCTAGTGCCTTGTCCCTGGCTCACACACATCTCCCTGGTGGCTTCCAGGTCCTGAAGCTCAAGCATCGCCATTGAGAAGCAGTGCAGCCTTATGCTCACAGCGTGACTGGGAAGAACTTTGGGGCTCCCCCTAGTGTTGAGACCTGGCTAAGCAGACCACATACCCTGTTGGCTGTTACATGCCCTGCTTTGCTGTCCAGCTTTTTGAAGCATTGTCAGATGGAAAGTAAAAGCTAGCATTGGTTCTTCTCCATCCTAGAGTATCCTGACTGATGAATACCATGACTGCTGTACTTGGGAAGTTTTAAAAAGGGGAGGCTTGGTGGGTTTTTTGTTGTCGTTATTTTTTTTCATTTCTATCCCCCACACACCCCACCAGGAGGATTTGTGTCAGCCACGATCTTGACGCTACAGGCACCTCCTTTATAGACTTTTGCAGGTGCAGATTTAGGGGTTCGACTCTCAAAAACATTGAATGCCTAGTATTTCCCAGTGACGGTGATGTGTGTGTGTGTGTGTGTGTGTGTGTGTGTGTGTGGTTTTTTGGACCTTGGGAAGAGGTTTTTGTTTGTTTGTTTGTTTGGCTTGCTTTGGGATTGGTTGGTTAGTTTGGATGAATTTTGTTTTTGGTTTCTTGCTGGGTTTTTTTTTGCTGGGGAGCTTGAGGTCTTCTTGTCTCAGTCTCCCAAGTGCTGGAATTACAGGTGTATATCACCACACCCTGTGTATTGTTGACTTTTTTTTAAGAGACTTCCAAATGACAGGGTTTTTTGGTTTTGTTTTGCTTTTTAAATACTAAGGATTTTGCTTTTTGCCACACTTTGGCTAAAACTAAGATGTTAGAGCATTAAATGTTAGCACTGGTGCCTGTGCTTTGTCCTGTCTTCCCATCATAAAGCAACTGGACATTACTGAGCCTTAAACATACCTGATGCTACAGAGCAAGACAAAGCTGGCCTCAGCTCTGTCCCAGCAGACAGTCACTATAAGTCTGTGATAAGTACTCAGAAATAACACAAGGAAGGCTTCGGTTAATGTGGTGGGAAGGGAAAGGGGGTAGCCAAGGCATGGGCGAAGAAGAGGAAAGTTCATTCAGCTCTGTTTGTAAGCAGTAAGAGACTGGCAAAGGTTCCCTTTTCAAAAACTTTTCCTGTTAGAAAAAGAACCCACTAAGGCCTGGTGAAGTGTCTCTAGGCCGTAATCCTAGCTACTTGGGAGGTAGAGCTCTGGAGGATCATTGTTTGAGGCCAGCCTGGGCAAAAAGTTCTCGAGAACCCATCTCAACCAATGGCTGGGCGCAGTGGTGTGCCCCTGTCACTCCAGCTCTGCAGAAAAGCATAAATAGGATCACAGTCCAGGCCAGCCTGGGCGTAAAGTAAGGCCCTATCTCAAAAATAACCCAAGCAAAAAGGACTGGCAGAGTGGCTCAAGTGCTAGAGCTCCTACCCAGCAAACACCAGGCCCTGAGTTCAACCCCCAGTACTGCCAAAAAAACAAACAAAAAACCCAAACAGAAAAGGAACCCACTATATTATAGGAAACCTGAAATGCTTAGGAGGGGGACCAAAGGCTTCCCTACAGTAATAGTGTTCTGACTAGTTACTAAGGCCTGCCTTCTCCCAGCTCCCAGAGAAGAGGCACTGAATGTTCACTGTTGGAAGTGCAGAACCTGCACAAGAAGTCTGTTTTGAAGTCGCCTGTGGCTTCTCTGCATTTGTACCGATGCCCAAAGCCACAGAATGAGATGGGAGTGCTTCTCTTCATCAGACAATTTGTCCTGGTTTTGCTTTCAGGCATAGTGGAATGCAATGGAGGAGTGGCTGAAGAGGACGAGGTGGAGGTCATCCTGGCCCAGGAACCCACTGCAGATCAGGAAGTGCCAAGGGATGCTGTCCTGCCTGAGCAGTCCCCAGGAGAATTTGACTTCAATGAGTTCTTTAACCTTGATAAGGTGCCGTGTTTGGCGTCGGTGAGTGCAATAGCACGCTTATAAGTGTGATGGAAGCCAGGTATGGTGCACACGCCTGTAATCACGATACTTGGGAACTGAGGCTGGAGGTTCAAGAATTCAGGCCACCCTATCTCAAAAAAAAATGTTTTTTTATTTTTGGGTGGGGTTTTTTTGTTTTGTTTTGTTTTCTTGTGGGATTGGAGTTTGACTCAGACTCAGGACTCTGTGCTTGCAAAGCAGGTGCTCTACCGCTTGAGCCACACCTCCAGTCCATTTTGCTCTGGTTATTTTGGAGATGGGGTCTCAGGAACTATTTGCCTGGGCTGGTCTCAAACCTCCCAAGTAACCATTGGCCCCTGCTGTTGTATGTATTTTTGATATGGGGTTCTTACTGCATTGCCCAGGTAAGCCTTGAACTCCTGGATTTGAGCAATCCTCTTTCCAAAGTGTGCTAGATGCTGTTGTTTTTGTTTCTGTGGGAGTGGGGCACAGAGGGAAGGGTTGGCAGCACTTCGGATTGAACCAGGATGCCAGGCTTGAGCTCAGACACAGTGTCCTACAGTCTGAATCACGGTTTTTGCTTTTGTTTGTTTCTCAGGTAGGCTCTGGAGCTTTTGCCTGGGCAGGCCTCAGCACAAGATCCTCCTGTCTCTGCCTCCCAAGTAGCGAGGCTGAATCACCACGCCCTGCCTGGGCCTTTGGCTTTTATTCTCAAATATTTGAATTTTTGTACCTTTGTTTTGAAATGACTAAATGAGAATTTATTACAAGTTAACTCTTTCTGGGCTGTTTGCACTGAGCTAAGAAACTTTCAGGTATTAAACAACATTGTCTTCTTACATGTTTTTTTGAGACACAGGGTCTTGCTATGCCACCGATCCAGCTGTCTCCTTTTATTTTTGATTATTGTAGTAAAGATGTACTATGTAGTTGACTTTTTTAGGTGACTGGTGATTGGTGTCACGGACCAGCATTGATGGGGGTGTCTTACCTGGTTAGGTGGAACTTTTGGTGGACGTGATGGTTCCAGAACCTTTAGTGAAAAGGTTCTGTGTTGCTCTTGAGCTCTGGTCTGCTTTTCTGGACTTAGCAACTTTAAAGCATCCCTGGATCTTTACATCGTATCTGCTGTTGCTCCTGCACCTTCAGCAGTATGGGTTAGGATTAGGAGAAGGGACAGAACTATGCCTGTGCACACAGAAATGAGGTTTCTCTATATTTGCTAAAAAACTGCGTAGAACCATGATAAGAGTTCTTATTTAATTACAAAAAAAAAAATCTGTGCTCTGGATGTCCCATTTACAACCCTAAATGCGTGAGTTGACTATTCCTTTAAGCTTGGTGGTTTGTGGACTTTAACTTAAATGACTATTTCTTACCCACAGCTGCTCTTTGTTTGCTTACTACATATGCAGACACAATTGCACACAACAGAGCAGGTAGATCTGATCTGTCTGCTTTGCAAAGATGGCCACCCCGAATGAGTGAGCCCACACACAGCATAGTGGTGCTAGGTGCAGGGCCACTTCTGCAGTTCTGTGACAAAGAGTCAGGTTCTATTTCCACTGAAATGGCTAGTATAAAGTACAGATGTCACAGCAACACCAAATAGCTGTGTAAGTTTTGTTCCTAACGTTCTGTCAGCAGTGTTAACTAGAAGTCTCCTAGTTAGGTAACTCACTTACAGTCTAACCATGTCGTTTTGTTTACTCCAAACTCAGGAATCACATCTGGATGTAAGCTTAATTCACTTGATGTAAAACTGAATTGTCCTCTTAAATTCTTAACTTCTGAGGATATAATGGTTTTTATTTTTATAACAACTGTTTAGTGACAGTTTGGGGTTTTTTGCATTTTCTTAGAAAACAGGTGGAAATTGTGGTGTTGAAAGTTTTCCACAGCAGGAGGTCAAGTTTTCGCATCGATACTTGGTTCCACGTATGGGCACCTGCAGAAGTCATCTGCGTGTACAGGCAGGGGAAGAATTTATTCTGTAACCCAAAGAAAGTGCTAAGTAAACATAACAGCAGGTACCACGCACATGCTGCGTGATATCATCATTCATTGTTCAGCAAGCCCTTTAAGCAGTTTACTGCCGTCCATTTTACAGCTGAGGAGGTAGACCCAAGGCTGAGATGGTAGGCCCAGCTGTGATCAGTGTTGTTCAAGTTCCCAGTCTGTATTCTGACCTCCCGCCACTGTGCTGCCTCTGAAGCATGAGGGGACAGAGACTGACACCTCCTCATCCTTTGGGTCAGCTTCCCCACAAAACCTGGTGAATGCTGAAGAAGTTGGTCCTAGGCAAGAAGACTGTCTCCATGTCATTCTTAGAGGTGCTGCTCATTGAGGTCTATATTCTGTACTGCTACAGATAGTGTAAGGCGTTAAACAGACCTGACACTCACACAGTAAGCGCCACAGATACTGGGTGTTAACAGATATAAACAGAACTTTAAAAAAAAAAAAAAAGCACCTAGGGGCTGGCAGAGTGGCTCCAGTGGTAGAGCACCTGCCTAGCAAGCATGAGGCCCTGAGTTCAAACCCCAGTACCACAAGAAAACGCCAAAAATCCATTCTCTTTCATGTAACCACCACGTACCAGGCCACAAGGCAATATCAAATAACGCGTTCATTCGTTTCATTCAGAAATCTTTATCTGGCAAGTCTAAGTTTTGGAAATTTCCTGGGAATTAAGGTTATAATTAAGAGTGAACAAAGAGCAGGCCTGTCCTCGTACAGCTCGCTTTCTCATGGAGGAAGTGACTGAGTGACAATAGTTACGCTAGAGTGTGCGTGCATTGGCTGTGTTCCTTGGTATGAGAATACCTTAAAAGTTGATGAGTCATCAGCCACAAAATTCTATCCAAGCCGAAAATGTGGGTCTCACGTGAAAATAACTCATTTAACTGAGTCACTGGAAATAAGTTTAGGTAGGATGTGACTCCTGGTTACTAATCCCTAACAGGTGCTTGAACAGATGGACTGAAGAAGAAAACAAATCAAGATGTGGGGGCGTGGTTCAAGTGCCAGAGCACCTGCCTAGCAAGCGCAAGGCCCTGAGTTCACTCCCAGCACCACAAAAAAAAATCAAAATAGAAATCCTGAGCAGCTTACTGATTAACAGGCCAAGGTGGTGGGACCAAAGTATGCTTAAAGGAAAAGTCATTGAAAATCCAGAGTAAAATCAACAGAGTAAAGCAGATTAAAAAATACATTAATTCCCATAAAAGAAAGCAAGCATTTCTAAAAACCCAGTAATTTTCAAAGAGCAAACAATATTTCACGAGATCCGCTCGCTCATCAGAATCATTTTATGAATCCAGGGATATGGCTTGTCTAAATGACCTTTGTTTGAAGGACCAAACTAATATTATCATTTTAGGTTCTCTTAAAACTGAAATTAAAGGGCCAGGCTACCCGGGAGGCATAGGTAGGGGGATCTTGGTCTGATGCCACCTAAGGGCAGAAAGCCAGAAACTGTATCCAAGGAAGGACAAAAGCAAAAAAGGACTGGGGTGTGACTGAGGTGGCAGAGTGCCTAAGGCCCTGAGTTCACTTGTCAGTACTGCAAAAAGAGATTTTTTTTTTTAATGTCTACTAAGGACAGCTGATCAGAATGCGGTTCCCTGCTCCTCTGTCAGCTGGTGGCTGAGGAGGACCTAGCAGAGGATGCCCTGACAGGTCAGTGGCGGGTCTAGGTCTCTCCTGCAGTGGTGCACACAAAGCCCTGCTGTTAGTCAGCCTGCTCTGTAGTCAGTCACAGGATTATTCTTCTGAGGTTTAAAATGCTTCTGTGCTAGCTGTGACGGACACGCTTATAGTCCCAGTGCTCAGGAGCAAGAGGTGGGAGGATCAAGTGTTACAGGTTAACTTGGGCCTACAGAGTGAAGCCCTGACTCAAACAAACAAAAAACATTTGATAGGTAGGTAAATTGCTTTAGTTTCTTGAAATTATTTCCACAAAGTGAATATAAAAGCAAGTTTGTTTCTACTCTTGAACTATGCTTTAGCTATAAAACATTGCTTATCCACCAGAAGGAAAGTTGGTGACTGATCAAAGTATGGAAATGAAGCCTGGCTCGGTGGCATGTCTCTGTAATCCTAGCTAGTAGGGAGGTGGAGACAGGAGGATCTTAGTCTGAGGCCAGCCCAGACAAAAACAGGTTACCCTATTTTGAAAACAAGCTAAAATCAAAAGGGCTGGGTGCATGGCTCCAGTGCTGAGCGCTTAATCCCCTGCTCAGCTCCCAGGACCACAATGTACTGGTGAAGGTTCTTTGTCGGTACGCGCTTTAAATCTCCAGAACACCCAGCTTTAAAATAATGAAGTTAAAATGCAGAGCCATCATTTTTATATTTATAAAATTTCAATTTTTTTGAATATTGAAACATTTGTTTTTCTCCTAAGGAAGAAGCATCTGAGTGAAGAACATGGAAGCATTTTGAAACTGTAGCTTCTAACTGTTTCCTTATAACTCCCAGTCAGCACAAGGTGGTTGTAGTTTGGTTACAACCCTAAATTCTTCCACTGTGAGACACTTGTGATGCTTTTATACTTCAATAAAGTATAACTAAATTAGTGCACTTCAATCGGGCGCCAGTGGTTCACGCCTGTAATCCCAGCTACTCAAGAGGCAGAGATCAAGAGGTTGGTGGTTTGAAGCCAGCTTGGGCAAATAGTTCACTGGACCCTATCTCAACAAACCTTTCACAAAAAAGGGCTGGTGGAGTGGCTCAAAGGGTAGGCCCTGAGTTCAAGCCCCAGTACCACCAAAAAAAAAAAAAATTTAGTGCACTTGAAAGTCAGAATTCTTTAGGGTTAAGGTATGAGAGTCAACAAGTAGAATATGACTAAAACTGAGTAATTCTTCCAAATGTATGAATTGCAAAAGCAATCAAATCAAGGATCTCGAATTAAAATCCTTTCAAGCGGAATACTTTGACTTAATTGGGTATATATTATAAAAAAAAAAAAAAAATCTTCCAAAGAAGAACAAAACGTCAATCTGACCTTCCCTCCTGACCATTGACTAGAAACTGGATTCCAGACTTCCACACTGGATCTTTCTGTTGTGCAGAATGATCAGTTTGGATATTTAACTGGATTTGTAATAGGTCAGAATTCTTTTCAGTACTGAGGTTTAAACTCAGAGTTTTGCACTTGCTAGTGGTCTACTAGCTTGTGATCTACTGCTTGGGCTACATCTCTGGTTATTTTTGGAATATGGTTTTGCTTTTTGTCCCCAGGGTGGCCTGGACTGCTGTCCTCTTGTTTTATATTTCCAAAAGTAGTTGAGATGACAAGCATGCACCATCACACTATAGGTTGAGATGGGGTTGCATGAACTTTTTGCCTGGGCTGCCTCAGATCACAATCTCAGCCAGCTTCTCACGTCGCTCGGGATGATAGGCACACCCAGCAGTTGGTTGAACTTTTTGCGTGGGCTGGCCTTAAATCATGATCCTTCTGATCTCAGCCTCCCAAGTATCTGGGATTCACAGGCATAAGTCTCCATAAATCGAGTTTTGAAAAAGGACTGAAAATAAACATAACTGTTGTGAAGAAGTTACTTTATAGTATTAAGCCAAAACTATGGAGGTGGGATTTGAAAGAAAACAAACACCTATAAATTCTCCCATTAAATTCAAACAGAACTAACTTAACATACCATACTTCTAAGCCTTCACGTGGAATTACAATTTTTTGGTTACTGTTTTTGTCTTTGTTTAATTGGTTTTTTGGGGGATTTTGGCTTTTTTATTTTTTTGGCGGTACTAGGGTTTGCACTAGGGCGTTACACTTGCTGGGCAGTTGCTCTGCCACTGAGTCAACCCACCCACTCTTTTTTTCTGAGTGTTGGCTATTTTTGAGATAGGATCTTGCTTTTTGCGGGGGCTGGCCTTGAACTGCGATCTTCCTGATGTCTTTCCTAAGTAGGTAGGATTATAGGCATGAGCCGCTGGTACCCAGCTCACTTGTTTCCTGATGCAGGGTTTCCCTGTGTAGCCTGGGAAGCCCTTAAACTCTTGACTCCCAGGTGCTGGGGCGACAGGCATGTGCCACTGATTCCCCCCCCACCCCCGGGGTGGAATTGGGGTCTTCACGAGCGCTGGTGTTTCTCCTTTTGGCTTTTGATGTCATCCCGACTGAGTTTCATGACGTTCCTTACAACCTGGAGACCGCCAAGTTTGAACCAAGGGTTTTCTAGAACAGTCCCACGGCTGACGTCTTGTTAAGTCTGCTTGTCATCCTGCGGCCGGATGCATTATTGCTCCAATGCTGATTTGGATTTGGAAACTAAGTTCCCTGAAAACACTTGGTTCTAAATGGGTTTTCTAATGAGGCAAAGGCTGGAAAACCAGGACACTTATAGCATAGAGGCTTTGCTGTGCATGCTTAGGAAGCACGTTGTCGGTTATGCCCAACTCGAGTTACTCGGAAATGATCCAGGAAGGGGAAGGAAAATTAGTGTCAGAATCCCGGGTTCTGAGGCTGTTTACCTTCAGTCCAGCAGCTTCAAAGCAAATGACCTTTTTCCAACATTTGAACCACTTCACCCATTTTTGCCTGGAAACCATTGTCTTAGTTCTTTTTCCACCTTTCTCTCTAGATAATAGAAGATGTCCTGGGAGAAGGGTCAGCCTCTGCTAGTCGGTTCAGCAGGTGGTTCTCTAACCCGAGCCAGTCAGGAAGCCGGTCAAGCAGCCTCGGGTCCACGCCACATGAGGAACTGGAGCGACTGGCAGGTAAGATGCCTTCAGATTCCGGCCCTGGGTGTGATTGAGCTTTCAAGTGTGCATTAGTGCCTGAGGGTGTTTGAATTTGTGTCCTCGTGGTACTGGTGAAGATAAGTTTCTGTGCATTACTGGGACCAATTATGACTATGTCAATTTGCAACCTCAGGTCTGGAGCAAGCCATTCTCTCTCCCGGACAGAACTCGGGGAATTATTTTGCTCCTATACCATTGGAAGACCATGCTGAAAATAAAGTGGACATTTTAGAAATGCTACAGAAAGCCAAAGTGGATTTAAAACCTCTTCTTTCCAGCCTGTCTGCAAACAAAGAAAAGCTTAAAGAGAGCTGTAAGTGTTTATTAATTCTGCTTTCAGAATCTGAAGTAGTTGGAATAGTTAGTCTTAAGGCAATTGGTTCTTTCTTACTATTTCATCTGGTCAGTTATATGGTAGATTTTGTTTCATGTTCTTCAAAAAGACTCATTTTATCAAATAGCTTCCTTTTGAGAAACTAACATGGATCATGCCCATGATGACAGCATCTCTGTCATGTCCTTGTTACCTGCAGCCTGACTGCAACAACCCCACAAGTGTTCTATTTGTCCCAGGTTTTAACTTGCCAGCAGCTTGCAACCTTGCCCCCAATCTGCCATGTTCCGAGAGTTAACAGCCTACTCCTATTAAGCAACTGTGATTTTAAGTGTTTTCAGTTTTGTCTGTTTTCAGTGTCAGCCCTTTCTGACAGCCTCACTTCAATTATGAAATAAATTATCTTTTACCTTAACCATGACAACAAAAGAGAATTGCTGCCACAATTCCTGCGCTTGGCTTAACCAGCAGTTTTCAACTCTGCAGCACACTCAGGGGTGGTGCTTTCCGTGGAGGAGGTGGAAGCAGGGCTCAAAGGCTTGAAGGTGGACCAGCAAGTGAAGACTGCTACTCCCTTCATGGCAGAGCATTTGGAGGAGCCCCTAAGCGCTGTCAGCAGCACTCGGCTCAGGAAGGATGGAGACATGACTGCCTTCAACAAGCTCGTGAGCACCATGCAAGCCAGCGGGACGCTGCCTGCCCAGCCAAAAGCCACCGTAAGTGTCAGTGTGTGGCACGGCTCGCCCGCTCCTCTCCTCCTCCTCTCTTCTGCAAATCCTTCAGCACTTGTTTGGCCCTTTATGCTTCAGTGTGTTTCGTAATTAGTGATATGCTATTAAGTAACTGCTTTCTAAAAGGGAAAAGGTATAAAACTGGGCTGGGAGTGGAGGCCATTTCCAGTGTTGTCCTGAATGCGTGAGGCCCTGGGTCCATCCCCACCACTATGCAAAAAAACAAAAAAAACAAAGAAGATAAAGCCATCTTTTGATGAGCTCCAGAGAAAATTTTCTGGTTCTCCAGCTACTAAAGTTCATATAACTTAATACAGTTTTATAGTAAAATCTTTCTTTCATACTCTAACTACGTCCAGCTTCCTAGGATTATTGATGAGGCAGTTGGCTGCCACACAATTATTAAAGTGTCAAAGGTGGATTTTTTTCCAGACTGTTGCATTCTGTTAATGTGCTGATGAAAAAGCTGTAGGTTGTTTTTGTGTTTTTTTTTAAACTTGAAAGCATACAGTTAGGTTACAAGGTGACTGCATGTACTGGTTTTTGTCATAACTGTTTAGAGAGTAGTTTGGCCCTTGATGATACAAAGTAATGGGGAAGCAGGATAGATACATACAATGAAAGCAGACCTATTCTACTTGCTAAATTACTTATAAAGTTGCTAAGAAAATTTATCAGATTGATGGCTGGCAAGTGGTAGAGCACCTGCCTAGCAAGCTTGAGCCCAAGTTCAAATCCCAGTGCCACAAAAAAAAAAAAAAAAATTTACCAAACTGAGTTGTGCCTCTTTTTTCTTCCTTGTCTGGGAACTACAAGTAGCTAAGGTATGAAGAGCAGTCAATTTGAGTAACTGTGCCTTACCAAAATTAGCCTTTAATGGACCAGCAATTATTAGAGAGACTTCACCTTGCTCAGCTACACAGAGGTACCGTTATTCTGAATGTCCTTAGTGCCAGGACTCATCTGCCTCTGAAAAGTAAAATTATTGGAGTTTTTGGCTTTATTTTGTTTGTATCAGACTGCACCACACAAATTATAGGCGAATGTTCGTAGAAAGTATTTGAGTTCTTTTCTTTTTTTTTTTTTTTTTAATCTTTTACTCATATGTGCATACAGTGTTTATTTTCATATGAGGAATTACAAAATGCTTTCAGATGTCACCAGGTATGGTGGCACAAGCAGGAGGATCATATGTAGGGGTTCAAGACTATCCTGAAAGACTAGACTACTTTCCTACTAAGTCCAAAGTCCTGAATTCAAATTCGAGTACCACCAAAAAAAGAAAAAAAAAAGCAGAGCTACACAGAGACTCTCATCTCAAATAAACTAAGAGCTGCAAATGTATCTCAGTGGTAGAGCACTTTCCTACTCTGAGCAAGGCCCTGGGTTCAGTCTCCTGCACTGCAAACAAAGGAAACTCCTCCTTTCTTGTTGCATTTGGGTCTTGGTGACTGGGTGTTAACTGTGGTGGTGTCAGTCAAATCATGTAATTGGATTTTTTTTCTTTTAGTGTGAGTGTCAAGAATGGAGGCAAGGCAGTTTCAAGCCCAGGATATTGATGCAGCTGACCCTGAGTTTGATATTAGGGTTTCAGTGCTCTGAAGTTTCACTGAAGGAATGAGCACCTGCTAACAGGAAGCTTGTCACAATTTAAGTGCCAACCAAAGGCTAACACAAACTCAAGCCAGGAAAGAAAGGAACTAAGCACACCAGGCATTCCCCATGTTGCTTCATCTGCCCTGCTTCTAAAATCAGTGTCTGTAATTATGGCTGCCGTGTGTTACATTTACTGTTTTCCATCTGCCTCTAATCATTAGGTTCAGTTACACTGTTCATCCCACAATAACATGTGGTGGTTCCATCTAAACTATCTTAAATGGAATTTAGACTGTAGCCTTGAAACACAGTAAGCCATGTAGTATGAAGCTGTCTGTTTGTTTTAGTTAGATGTAATTAAAGGGCTCTATCTGAAGAGACTGCTTGTTAAAATCTCCTGCATTTAGTGCCGGTTCCAAAAGCAACACTAGAACAGTTGGGTATCTTTGGGCAGCCAAGGGCTCTGCTGTGGACTTTGACAGCTCTGTCTAGCAGAAAGGAAATTATACTAGGAAAAGCACTGCAGAGTGAGAGAGATGGATACAGGGAGGGATTGCAAAGGCAGATTACAAAACAACTGCTGCTACATTGAGAGCAAAGGGGAACACTCGAACGTTGCCCTGCATGTGAGACTTATTCTGAAAAGCTTATTTAAAAGTAATGAAGCTTCAATTTCCTGAAATATGACAACTCTGGAATATAACAATTCTGGGAAATTTTCTTGTTTACTGGGGGGAGTGGGGCAGTGTTGCTGGGGATCAGACTCAGAGACTAGTAAATGCTAGGTAAGTGCTCCGAGCCTTTGGTGGTTTCCTTGGGGTTTTTGAGACAGAATCCTGCTATGTAGCTCAGGCTGGAGCTCAAACAACAAATCCTCCTGACTCAGTCTCCCAAGTGCTGGGATTACAGTTATGCACCACCGTACCTGCCCTTTTTGTGTGTGTGTCGGGGAGGGGCTGGTGCTGGGATTTCAACTCGGGGCTTCATACTTACAAAGCAGGCATTCTACCACTTGAGCCACAATTCCAGGCCATTTTGGAGATAGGTCTCAAGAACTATTTGCCTGGGCTGGCCTTGAACTGCAGTTTTCCTGATCTCTGCCTCCTAAGTAGCTAGGATTACCAGTGTGAGCCACTGGTGCAAGTTTTTATTAGATTTTTAATACCATCTTTGGTCAGAAATCTTTGTTAAAATGTGCAGCAAGGGTTGTTTTAAAATTAAAATCTTTAAGTTCTCAAAACTTGTTACTATGGCTTTTTACCAAGTAAGTGCTCCTCAATTTCACCGTGTTCTTAGTCCCTTCTTTTGGTCACAGTGTTAGAAACAGTGCCGAAAGGACTAGAGTTAGCACTGTGAGGATCTCAAAGCAGAGTAAAGAGTTTTCCATGCCTGTGTTTTGGGGCCTGTGTGATGAGAGAGGAACAGTTGGCCTGAGTTAGTTTTCTGTAACTTGGATATCATTCCTTTGATATGGAATGAAAGGGGCAGGCCTGACATTTTCTTGTGGTACTCAATCTGTAAATTATGTTAACAGAGTTAAAACCACTTGGACTTTTTTTTTTCTTTCTTTTTTAGCGAAACCTGAAAGCCATTTGATATCACCTGCTGAGATTCCAGGCCAACCCGTCTCTAAGAACATCCTGCAGGTACGTCACAGTCTTCCTCCAGTGCATGTGGTGTGTTTGGGCCTTCGAGAATGAGCCATGTTGCCTGTCAGTGAAGGATGCACTGCTGCTATCTGACATAGTTCAGTAGTGCTGTCAATCTCAAGAGAGGTGGTGGAGCCAGGCCTGTAGCCCTAGGTCTGAGGAGTTAGAGATCAGAAGGATTGTGGCTCAAAGCCAGCCCAGGCAAACAGGTTGTGAGACCCTGTCCCCCACCCCAAAAAAGAAAAACCCTTCACAACAAAGGGCTGGTGGAGTGGCTCAAGGTGTAAGCCCTGAGTTCAAACCCAAGTATCGCCAAAAAAAAATAGGGTGGGTGAGAAAGTGGTAGGATGGTTTTAAGAGGTGACACAGTAGTAGTTTGCAGTCTCTGTGGGACTTAGCACCTAACCCGTTTTTACAGCACTGACTGCAGGCAAGTGGACATCCGGGAAAGTGTGTTGCGTGTGCACATACCAAGCGCTCAGTGAGGCATGAAATTAATCCACAATCCCAAGATTCCGACTAGAAGGAAAAACTAGTTTGTTGACAGCGATTTGGCTTTTCTGCCTGTAGGAACTTCTGGGTCAGCCAGCTCCGAGACCTGCTTCTTCCAATCTTCTGAGTGGCCTTATGGGGAGCTTGGAGCCTGCTGCATCTTTACTGGGCCAAAGAGCACCCTCTCCTCCCATCTCACAGGTGTTTCAAGCTCGAGCAGCCTCAGCGGACTACCTTCGCCCAAGAATACCATCACCAATTGGTAACTACTTTTTGCAGTGCCGGCTCTCGAACCATGATCATTCATACTAGACAGGTGCTGTCCTGAGTTACACCCCTAGTCCAGTAATGCTGTCACACGTAGCTGTCTGTCTCTCGAGACCCTGTTGGAGAATAATGGCTCTTTACCAAACAGTTGGAGTTGATAGGCAATCAGTTGTGCAGTCTTGTGGCCAATTCTTAATGTGACTGAAAGAAGCACCTCCAGAAAGCTGTTGTAACAGTGTCCTATGTCTCTGCCATCCTGGAACCACCGTAGACTGCTGGCTGCTCGCCTTTGCCAGGCCTCCTAGAGAGGCAGCTTTGGAAATCACCTGTTCACAGTCAGGGATAGAATAGAATTGTGCGCTGGATTCCGCTTTCACAGTAGATGACGTAGTGAACCTGGCCAAATTCCTGCCTAGGAAAGTTGTCTCCCAGAGAGGTCTTAGCTCTGAGAAGGACAAAGGTGACAGCTTAGGAGGGAAGATGGATACACCAACAAGAATTCTGAGGTCCACATGAGCACTGTGGGAGGACAGAGGAAGAGGGCTGGCTGTCAGCCAGGGAGGCAGTGCCTCCCACAGGAACAGGATTGTGGTGACAATGCTGCCTGCTACACAGTACTGTCTGTGCATGCACTGATCTGTAACTTTCCTGGCAGGTTTCACACCAGGACCCCAGCAGCTACTTGGAGACCCATTCCAAGGCACGCGCAAGCCCATGAGCCCCGTCACAGCCCAGGTCAGGCTGAGCTTCTTCTCAAAGCCCATCTGTTGCTCCCTTGTTCACCCTTGTTGCTTGTGTGATGGAGAATTACACTGCTACCATACGTGGAAGTGGTTTTGCAGCAGTGGAACAGTGCGGTTTGCTTCGCAGTGTACTGTAGTCCAGGTCAGTGAGGGCAGCAGACTTCAGTCAAGTATGCAGGATCTACTTTTTCTCAGCTGCTGCTTAAGATGTCCCCTTCTAGGAGGGACAAGGAGACCTTTGTAGAAAATGCATTCACTGCCCTAGCTCTCTCGCTGACCTCTCCTGCCACTTCTGTCCAGCAGATGAGCCAGCTAGAGTTACAGCAAGCAGCTTTGGAGGGGCTGGCCCTGCCACACGACCTCGAAGTACAGGCAGCAAGCTTCTACCAGCCTGGTTTTGGCAAGCCACAGGTGGACAGAACCAGAGATGGCTTCAGAAACAGGTAAATTCCTAGCCCTCCCTGCGTGGATGCGTGCTCATTTACTGAGGGCGGTACGCCATCCACGCGATCACCTATGGGAGCGCATGGTGGGAATTCCAGCCACTGTGGATGCCATTGGTGCAGGAAGCAACGCGATTGAATTCTGCAGCCTCCTGGCAAGCGTCAGGCCCCGAGTTCAAACCCCAGAACCACCAAAAAAAGTAAACTTCTACAGAGACTTCAGAATTTTATCCTATATGGTTTTATTCAGATTCTTAATGTAATTTTTTTTTCAGATTGCTAATTAGTCATACAGAAGACATTCTACTTACTGATTTACCTTACAGTTTGTTATGAGTAAATAGATTTGAAAATCTGTTTCGCTTTTACAACTATAAGTAGCGCAGCTCCTTCTCTGCAGTCATGCTTTTAGGGTGATGGAAACTCATGTGGGATTGTCACACTGAGGATGAGTAATGACTGACCTCACAAGTGCTAGAATGAAATGAGCCATAAGTTTGGGAGAAATAGGGTTGCAGTATCATTATTGTTCATTATCAAATGAAATGAAATTTTCCTAAAGCACACGTAGCTGTGACACAACTGCTTGTTACTCAGTAGCCCTCCACGTGCCCCGTGCCCATTACACACCCTTCTTCCCTCAGAAGTGTCCGCTGTCCAGCCTTTCAATGTAATCACTACCTTAAGTTCTTGTTTCATGCACACGTGTGCTTCGCTGAACACTGCACTGCGGTCCTGCTGTGTGATACTTGTTAACTCAGAAGTACTTGTTCTGATACTCTTAGGGTTACTGTGTCGGTGCCTCAGCGTCTCCCTTCAGCTGGTGTAACTGTTAACTGTTGGAAGACACTGACCAGGAAGAGCCCGGCACGAGTGCATGCTGCCTATAGCACCTCAGCATGCGGAGCGGAGGGCCAGTCTGCTGCGCTCTTACACTCGCTCTGCAGCCCGGCCCTGCTGCCTGCTCCTCACTGAGGGCGGTTATCTTTGCGTCAGCCCTGCGAGGTAGATGGGGATAAATGACTGCTGTACAGACTCACAAGCTGTGAGTCACTCACAGCTGGCCAGCAGAGCCACCCCGCACACTTTACAGTTGTGTCCCCCAGCAAGCGTGCCTTCCCTAGCCGTTTTTTTTTCTTACCTGTCTCCTTCCCCTTCCCACCCTGCAGTACAAATGCGACCTCCATGAGGCCAGAGACTCTTGTTCACTGCTGTTACCCAGCACCTACACCAGTGTCCAGCACAGGGCAGGTGCTCAAATCTGTCTACACAAGGGATAAAGTGGCAGGTCGTGTGGACCCCCCTTGTCACTTAGGTCACCACTGTTCTCTGACTGGGAAGAAAGTGTGAGTTTAGGCTTCTGCTGTGACTCAGACAATCCCCAGAACCAGTGACTGTGCTTAGACTTTCACGTTTGGAACACAAGGTTTGACGTGGCTGAAACACAGTGAAGCTTTCGTTAGCCAGCAAGCTCAATAGTTCTTTCTCTTCTCAACCTGTTTATGTCTGTCAGTGCTGTTTCCTGGTTTTGTAGGTTAAGGGAGAATGAATTGGATGGTGGGCATTAGGAAAGAAGTCAGTTCCTATTTGGGAGGCCTGAGAGCGGTGGGGTGTGCGTGTGCAGCTGCACTTCATTGCAGCCAGTGTCTTATGGAGCAGCAGTTGCGTGCCAGACACTGCTCACCAATGTTGCTACCTCGCCACCTCAACTGGCATAGTCCACAGATAAACTCTGTTCCAACCCTAGATAAACTGCCTTCCCAAACGCCTGACCCACCGCTCATCTTTAACTTCTCACCAGTCACACCCAGTTCAATCCAGCTTCTGCCCCAAGAAGCTTCCTCAGTATCCTAGAGTTTCCTGTCGTTCCTTCTACCGCCCGTGTTCTCACTGTGCCTCCTTGGTATCTCTGGCTGGTCCCACGGTTTGCCCTCAGGTTATTGAGAGCGTTTGTCTTTCCTCAGGACTTGGTGCTTGTGCTTTTGTACACTAAATGCTTGGGAAATTGAGTCTCAAATTCCTTGACTATTACAATTTTAGGACTGGGAGTTCTCCCTGTGGGCTCCCACAGTGGCTTGGGGCTGTCACTGATACTCAGTTTGTTCACAGGCAGCAGCGAGTAACGAAGTCACCAGCACCCGTGCACCAAGGGAACTCTTCTTCCCCAGCCCCTGCCGCCTCTATCACAAGCATGGTCAGTGACCTTTAGAGACTACAAAAGACTTAATTTGGTTGTGCCTTGTACCTGCGTGTGCCCTGAGTGTCCGGGAATGCCTGCCACAGGAATGCTGGCCTCAGTCCTTCATACCTACTTGTTAGGTCTTCCCATGGTGAGGCAATCTTAACTTGGGGTTCTGGTGAAGCCCTCATTGGGAAACTCCAGTAGGTAGGTGAGCTTGGGCAGGGCACACGGTGGCATAGGGTGTCAAAATGAGCGAACGGCTGGTGTGGGGAGGTGGGAGGACCAGAGTGAGCGACAGGAGGTAAGCCGGACATAGGTCATATGGGGCGTCCACAAATTGTTGAGACCTCAGTGACAAGGGTCAGGTGTTTGCTCATTGGTGGTGATGAGTCTAGTTTTACAGCTGACTGGCATTACTTGTTTTAGTATTTCATTCATCACAGACATATATGATTTAGTCAAAACTGACACATAAGGGGGAAAACTACTGCGTGCTTCAGGGTTCCATGTGTGTCTGCACCAAACACCTTAAGATGATCTGGAAGGAGCTTTTCTACTCCCAAGTTACACTTTGTCTCTGCCATCGAGGATTTGGGGTTGATGAGAAAAAGCACGTGTATAATAAAATCATCGAAGTCGAAATAACAAATAGATGGAAACAAATGGTAAATCCTAGTGGCTGAGGAGACTGGAGATAATTTCTTTTCTGGTGGCCAAGTTAAGAAGAGAGACATTAGCGCGTAAAGTGATTGGGTTCTCAGGTTGTCTCTGAACCGTCCTTTCCCAGATGAAAGGTGCAGCTGTGCTCCGGGCATATTTCTGGCCACGCTCTTCCCTCTTCACAGCCTAGTCCCGGGCTGTGGGAGTGTGTGAAGCAAGTCCCCATGCCCCTAGGGATGAGGCTCTTGGGACATTGCCTTTCTGTTTCTTTGCCCCCAGCAGCTGTGGAGCAGGGTGTTGGAGGCCTCTGCTACCACATAGGTAACCCGGACGCTCGGCCTGGTGACAGGAGCCTGGTTTGCCATTGGAGGAGGCACTTAGAGCGTGCTGACGCTGACACTCTCTCTCTGCAGCTTTCTCCTTCCTTCACCCCTACCTCCGTAATCCGCAAGATGTACGAGAGCAAAGAGAAAAGCAAGGAAGAGCCAGCACCTGGAAAGGTGGCTTCTGGTGACAGTAAAGACGATACTCAGAAGGCCAGTGAAGGTATGGTAGGGTGTGCTGCTCAAGAAAGTGTGTGACAGCCCGGTGCTGACGGCTCTAACCCGACTTCCCTGCAGAGCCCTGGGCCAGCCCCTGGCTGCCTTTCCATGGTTCTGTTGATGGGAAGGGCTGGACTGGGTTATAATCGCTTAGTTGCTCAAAAGTCTGACCAACCCACGAGTGGTGTGAGTTCTGGTTCAGAACAGTGAGCTGCAGTTTAGGACTTCTGTTTCTGAGATAGGGCCTTGCATTTAATGCCTAGGCCAGCCTGGACCACAGTTTTGGTATTTACACCTCCCCCATAACTGCGAGGACAGGCGTGAGCAGTGCTTCACACCCATGCTTTTATTGGTTGAGATGGGTTCCACCTCAGTCTTCCTAATCTCCTCCTCCCAAGCAGCTAGGGTGACGAGGGTGAGCCACCACACCAGGCACGATTCTTACTCAGCCTTCAGAGTTGAAATAATTTGTGTGCAGCATATTAATGTCGCTCAACTAGTTAGTTTTGCCTCTGAGACAAAGTCTCACTGTATATCCCAGGATGGGCTTGAACTCAGAATCGTCCTGCCTCAGCTCCCAAGTGCTGGCATTACAGCTGTGAACCACCATACCTGACTTTCGTTCAACAGTTTTACTTCTGAAAGGTTCTCCGGCGTGCGGAGACTTACGGGGCTAATGAAATCGGTGTGTGCGTTGGGTATAAGAAGTCCACAGAAATCCTGCCGCAGTCTTTGTGAGTTACACACGTGTGTAAGACGCACGTGTGACGGGCACGACACACACCCTCGTAAGCTAGGGTCTGTGCAGGAGAGTTGGTCTTGGTCAGGTGCTTTGCCTGTGTTTAGGAAACAAATCCCGTTGGTCCTGCTGGGGCGGTGCAGTTGCTTGGGTCGGACTAGCTGCTGTTTAAGTTTTCTGCCATGGGTGCACAGAATTTGCACCTTGATTTCACTATCCTGTGGGAGGAACATAGGAACACGGACGTGGGCTTCCTCATGTGTGTTGCTTATGGACTCCAGAGCCTTTGATTTTTTTTTTTGGAGGGGAGGTTGTGTCAAGATTCGCTGTGGACTAGGCGTGCAGTTTAGTGGTAGAGCACTTGCTTAGCACACGGGGGCCTGGGTTCAATCTCCAGCACCGTGCAAACGCCCTCCCCTCCCCACCCAAAGTAAAAATCACTGTTCTGGGAAAGGGTGCAAAGACCATTAAAACAGGTCTAGGCGCTGGGCCCCAGTGGCTCACGCCTGTAATCCCAGCTACTCAGGAGGCAGAGAGGAATGGTCAAGATTCGAAGCCAGCCCAGGCAAATAGTTTGCAAGAGGCTGTCTTGAAAACCCTTCACAAAAATAGGGCTGGTGGAGTGGCTCAAGGTGAAGGCCCCGAGGTCAAGCCCCAAGAGCACAGGGGTCTAGTTCAAGCTCAGACCCTGCTAGTCACATGACCTCGGCTCACCGTTCATCTTCTGGCGAGGACCACTGGGAAACCAGACTATTGGGAGCTCGCAAATAACAGTATCCTCTGACTGGATCCTTACAGAGAACCTGCTGTCATCCAGCTCCATACCCAGTGCTGATCAAGCGTTGTCTCCTCCGACGAATCCCAAACTGGCGGCCCTACAGCGGTCTTCGTGTTCCACCCCACTGTCCCAGACCAACCGTTACACCAAAGAACAAGATTACCGACCTAAAGCAGCTGGGAGAAAAACGCCTACCTTGGCATCCCCGGTTCCAGGAACACCTTTTCTCCGCCCCACCCACCAAGTTCCCCTCGTCCCCCATGTCCCTATCGTTCGGCCTGCTCACCAGCTTCACCCAGGGTTGGTCCAGAGGATGCTGGCCCAGGGTGTACCTCCACAGCACCTTCCGAGCTTGCTCCAGGCCGGTGAGTGTCTGACCTCGCGTGAATGACATTGGTCAGTGGACCTGACGAGTCCTGTGCTGCACTGTGGGAGGTGTTCGTCCCTAGAGATTACTCGAGTTGGCCACCTACCCGGTGGGCAGTGAACCCAAGCCGATCCACGATCCATTCAAAGACTAGGGATCTAGTTTGAGCATTCTTTGTTCCGAATAAACTTCCAAGTCAGCGAAGGTATAGAAACCTGGAGTTTCCAAGTAACCCGAGTTAAGACTGCTACTCAGCACTCCTTCTCTCCAACAGGGGTGCTGCCTCCTGGGATGGACCTGGCTCATTTGCAAGGAATATCTGGGCCAATCCTGGGCCAGCCCTTTTATCCTTTACCTCCTGCTAGTCACCCTCTCCTGAACCCTCGTCCCGGGACACCTCTGCATCTGGCAATGATGCAGCAGCTCCAGCGCTCAGGTAGGCTCGGGAACGGGCGGGGTGAGCTTGAGATGGCTCGAGGAAGCTGGAAGCTTTTAGGACCAGTTTCCTGCAGGAGATGAGTTGACACACTTTCTCCCCACCTTGTCCTAGTAAGACTGCTGGGGGAGGTTGTAACTGGAAAAAAGTTGAAGTGACCTCTGTAGGACATCGGATTACTGTTCCTGCAGAGACAGAGAGCCAGGTGTGCCTTGGCTTTCTTTGGCCTTTGCCTCTAAGAAGACTAGGACTGTTTCCATCAGAAGTTCGGCACGGGGCCCGCCCTGTGGGCAGCTAACGTCAGCGCTTCTGTAATGTGGCTGCTTGCTGTGGGAAGTGCTCAGCCGTGCAGGGTGAACTCCCAGTAGGGATGGCTTTCTGATAGTGTAGCTTTTCAAGGTACTGTCCTCTAGTGTTAACTGGCATTTTGCAAGGGAGTTTTCTCAAGGAGCCCTAGAGGCTCACAAGGCCCCAAATTCAAAACCCAGTACCACCAAGAAAATCTTAAAAAGGAAAACCGTAGCATAGTCCTCTGAAAAGACATCTGCTTGGAGCTCATGGAGAGGGCTTGGGTGAGGCAGGGGCAGTAAAGAGCTGCGCCCCTCACGCTCTGAGTGATAACCTTCTTTTCTCTGCAGTTCTGCATCCTCCAGGCTCTGGTTCCCAGCCAGCCGCTGTCAGCGTGCAGACAACCCCTCAGAACGTGCCCAGCCGCTCGGGCCTGCCCCACGTGCACTCCCAGCTGGAGCACCGCCCCAGCCAAAGGAGCAGCTCCCCCGTGGGCCTCGCCAAATGGTTTGGCTCCGATGTCCTCCAGCAGCCCCTGCCCTCCATGCCCGCCAAGGTCATCAGTGTGGATGAGCTGGAATACCGCCAGTGAGCAGGGCAGGCAGGCAGGCTCACCTACACCTGGACCTGTGGTGGCATCCCGGCCAGGGCTCTGCCTCCTCGTCTCGGGTTGGTTTCCGGGCTTTTACTTTGGAACACGCTGGGCGAAGCTGTTTAGGGGACTCATGCCCCTGGCGTGGTCTGCGTCCCAGAAGGATCTTCACCAATCGAGCGGAGCCTGCGTGGTCTTTATTCAGGACGCACAGTGCTGTTGTTCCTGGGGACGGTCTTTCTTTTTGTAAGATATGTGAATGAAGTGTTGGTGTCTTCACCAAGAGGTGGCACCGCAGGGTTTGAGGAAATAAAATGTACAGGCCTGTGTATAAACTTTTGTACATACGTAGATGGGTAGCTTTTTTGAACTTCTACAGCTGTACATAAAGTAGCTGGTGTTAGATAAGCTGTGTCAGTCGTTTGGATTTTTTTCACTTGTACATTTGGGACTTTTGTTTGATTAAAGTTGCATATGCTAAGTGTGTGAATGAAGTGAATGGCGCTGTTGTTTATTTCCTCCCAGAATCCCTTGTGTCTGGAAGCTGAGTGCAGAGGCTCAGGAGGCCCTTGATTCGATTCAGGCGGAAGCAGTTTTGGCCTCTTTCCCTGAGCCTGGACGCCGCAGGGCTCAGGCCGATGAGTAGCCTTGTGGCTGGGTATTTACTAAGTGTTCAGTTTTCAAAATTCAACTAACCTAGTAAGTCAGCTTGTTTATTGGGAAATCATGTATGTGAGTTTCTCCAGAACTACATACGTTTGCTGGCCTTGTTTCTCCAGCTCAGCTTTCACTCGATCCATTAAAGTCTAATTTCTCCACGTACGAGTTCCCTCGATCGCTGGGGGGGGGGGTGGCTCCAGTGGTGAAGCCCCAAGTTCCGATCCCAGTAACACACACACAAAAAGAAAAAAACCTTTGCTCAAGGCTCTGCCCGTGTTAAGTCTCCTCTGTGCTGCATCATCTCTCCGCTCACTGTCAGCTACAAACAGCATGGGAAGGCAGGAGCCCGCCAGGCTGTGAGCCGAAGCGATACTTACCTCTCACGCTTCGGTTTCTCTGCGTGAGTTCTAGACACTCGTTTCGAGCCGTAAGAGCTCTCTGGTTCCACATAGCACAGGAATGAGGCCGTTCTCCACTTCAGTTTAACCATGAGGTCAACCTCTTCGTGGTGCTTTCAGACTCGTCACCGAAGCCCATGCCCCGAAACAGCCCTGAAATCGCCGCAGTTCCTCGGCCTCAGAAACGCCGTGTTTGCACTCCTCAGCAAACACCTCGTGTCCACAAGACAAGGTTGGAAAGCAGTCCCGAGTGTCAGCGGCAGAACACTGTTGCTTTCACCTCTCCTCTGTGTCCTCTCCACTCATCTCTCCTTCGGTAGTAGGTGTAGGGTGAGGAAGATTGGGCCGAAACTGCAATTCGAGGCTTCCTTGTCAGGCTAGAAGCTGAGGGACAAACGTGACCAACGACTGGCGAGCTGGAGCGTTACTAAGACTGGCAGACCTAGGTTTTAACACTAGTGCAGAGAAGACTGGAGGAAGGCAGAGGCTAAAGAAAAAGAAGTGAGGCCACTTTAGTGAGTTAGGCTGATACAGGGTGGAGGCAGGGAGGACAGGAGGTCCCCGCACACAAGGACATGTTTGGAACAACTGTGGGATGTCTTGCAGGCATGAGGTGAGTTGAGAAGTCATCCGGGTTGGAAAGGGGTGTAAACTGAAGGTTAAGAAAAGCTGAGGAGTGGCTCAGGTGGTAGAGCGCCTACCTAGCAAGCGTGAGGCCCTGAGTTCAAACTCCAGTGCCACCAAAAAAGGAAAATGTCACTTAGGAATCAAGTGGGATTAGCATAAATGGAGTGCGTGAGTGTGGCTAAGCCTTCTGGGAAAACAGTTCTGAAGGTCCTGTAAGGCAGGCTGTTCTAAGAAGGAGCCTGGATCCTCACCATCCTCGCCACCATCCTCACCACCACTCCTTTTCAGTTATTTTTTGGGGCTGTGTGGTACTGGGGTTTGAACTCAGGGCTTTGAGCTTGCTAGGTAGGTGTTCTACCCGTTGAGCCTCACCTCTGGCCAGCGGCGGCCCTCTCCTTATGAAAGATAGACAGGCACAACCCGGATCGAAGATGCTACTTACAGGGTAAACTCCGATCCTTCAGTAACTCTTCCCTTTTCCGATAATTGACTCAAAAACGTAAGGGAAAGAAAAAAACCAAATGGGCTGGGCACCTGTGGCTCACGCCTGTAATCCCAGCTACTCGGGCGGCAGAGATCAGGAGGATCATGGTTCAAAGCCAACCTGGGCAAACAGTTGATGAGATCCTATCGTGAAAGTACTCGACACACCTGTAATGATCCCAGCAGAGACCAGGAGGTCAAAGCCAGCCCCTGGCTAATTGTTTGGGAAACCCCATCTCGAAAAACCCCATCACAAAAAAGGGCTGGTGGAGTGGCTCAAGCAGGAAGAGCGCCTGCCTAGCAAGTGGGAGGCCCTGAGTTCAAACCCCAGTGCCACCAAAAAAAAAAAACAAAACCCATGAGACATGTTACACCGTGACACTAAGACAAACTGGCTGGGCAGCTTCGAGGAAACGGCTTCCAGAGGACAATGTCCAACCCCGTACCGACCTCTCCATGCCGACGTTCAGGCTGTGACTTGGGAGCAGAGCCAACAACCTAGAGGCCGGCGTAGGTGACAGAGCGTGGGTCCTCGGTGACCTCACCGCTGCATGAAGCCAGTGCAAGGCCGAGGAAGAGGGTGGGACGCGTAAGAGCAGCGCGGCGTCAGGCCACCGCCTTGTCTGTAAGGAAGCGCCGCCTCTGAGGCCCAATCCCGGCAGGCAGGCTGAGCAAACCCGTTCCAGAACTTTCCCGAGGGGGACTGGTGGGGCAGCGCCGCACGGGCCGAGGGCTGAAGGGGCGCAGGAAGGCGCCGGTGCACACCGCCAAGCCGCGGATGAAATCCCGGCATCCTGGGCGGGCTGGACGCTGAAGCGGGTTAGGGACGGCCCCGACTGGAAGCGAGCCTCAGAACCAGCGTCCCCGCAGCCTCGGGGCGGGCTCTAGGCCATGGCCTCTGCGGTGACTGCCCGGGTGACACGGCCAGGTCTGGTTCTGGAAAGCGTGGAGGCCCATGAGGGCTCATCTCCTGGTGCGGGGCCAGCGGGAAACAGCTGTCCTGGGGGCACGTCCTCCGCAGCCCTGCAAGCTCGTCCCCCTCCGGTTGTCTCGAGCGCCACTCCGCCATCTCGTAGGCCACCGTGCCATCAGGCGGCCGAGTCGCTGCGTTAGAGCTCGCCGGAGCTAAGTGCCCGCCACTGCCACGCTCTAACGCGCTCGCTGTCACCAACCAACCGCTCGCACCCAAACCTCCCGCTGCCTCGCAGCGGTGGCCTGGCCTGCCCCGGTCCCCAGCTTTGACGTGTGAGGCCAGGCCTGCGGCATGGCTCAGCTCGCCTTTCAGCCAGCACTGGCCGCCGGCCTGCTGCCGCGAGGGCAGACGGGAGATCCGGAAAGGAAAGGCCGGGGGGAAGGGGCTGGAAACCGTGCTGAGCAATCCCCAAGTGCCATCCCCCTTAATGCTCCCTCACCACCCTAGGTCAGGGCTGTCGTCATCCCTGTCACGTGGTAAGACTGAGGTTCCTAAAGTAACTGGAGGGAGCCCTGATCACAGGGCTTTTCCCAGTGTCACACGGGTTATCTCCCCAGCCAGCCTCAGGAAGCAGCCAGCCAGCCAGCCCGTCCTCTCCACACTCATGCGAAGAAACTACTTGAAAGGACCAAAGGCCACACCCAGGTGGAAGGGCCAAGTAGGATGTCCCATGTCACAGTGTTACCCACCCCGATTCAAGACCAAGCACTCCTTCTGCAGCTGCTTCCCTGTACACACCTGCCTCACTCATCCCATCCCAAACCAAATGTGACAATGACACCGGAAGTGCACAGACCCTCAGGCCTACCAGGTCTTTTATGCAGTTCAACATGGAAAGTGACACCAAGGGAAGACAGGGGTGTCCCCGTTTGGGTACCTCCACCTCCCACCCTGTACCCTGATCCAATGGCTGCCACAGACAGAAAGGGCCGAGTGGGGTTTGGTCCAGGAAAAGCTGCTGCGGCCGGCCCGGCAGATCGGGAAGAGGAGGCTTCACTTCTTCACAATCTGGATGACGTCCTCATCCTCCAGCGTGTGGTCTTTACCGACTTTCTGAGGATTGTGTTTCACGGAGAGACCCCAGACCAGAGCGCTGTATGGAAGGGAAAAACGGAAGTCAGTGTAAATGACAACCCAGCTCTGCAACAGCTGCCAGGGTGCCAACCTTGTCAGCTTCCGCATCTGAGCTCTTAAAAGCCAAAGGCCCCTCTCCCAGAACACACTCAGAGCGAGAGGCTTTAAGATCCTCCAGCACTGGGACACACCGCTGCAGGCTTCACACATATGGCGGCAAAGATTTACAGAAGTACCCGTCTGGTCAGGTGCCAGTGGCTCACGCCTGTAATCCTAGCTACTCAGGAGGCTGAGATCAGGAGGATCAGGGTTCGAAGCTAGCCCAGACAAATAATTTGTGAGATTCCATCTCCAAAAAATATCCAGAAGTTGAATGCCAGTGGCTCACGCCTGTAACCCTAGCTACTCAGGGGGCAGAGATATCAGTAGGATCCAAGTTCGAAGCCAGCCCAGGCAAACAGTTCGAAAGACCCTATCTTGAACCCTTCACAAAAAAAAGGGCAGATGGAGTGGCTCAAGGTGTAGGCCCTGAGATCAAACTCCAGTGCCGCAAAAAAAAAAAAAAAAAAATCTAGAACACCTGCTCTGCAAACTCAAAAGCCCTGAGTTCAAAATCCAGTTCCACAAAAAAACCCAAAAACACCAAATAATAAATAAAATGAATAGATATAAAATCAATTCCTTGTCAAAGAAAAAGTACAATGCCAGTTACACACTATTAGAGAACACCTCTTTCCTGGGTCTACTCTGCTAAGAAAATCCTCCCGCCCCATCAAGAAACCGGAGTTATGTCCTCCTAATTTCTTGGAATATACAAAGGTCATTTGTACCCCTCGGCCTCCAAAATTACCAAGATCTTGTGCTAGTGATGGAAGTTGGTAAAGAAAAAACACTGCAAGCACCTCACAGAAACTTACATGCAAAGAGGTGGGGAAAAGTGGCCACAGTGACACAACACAGTGATTGACTGCACGAAAACGTCTTTGAAACCTGTACTCCCGGCACAGAGACGCTAACTCGTGGTAGAGCCCTTGTCTAACACATACGTACAGGGCTCCAGGTTCGATCCCCAGCACCACAAAAGGAGAAAAAAAGCAAGTGTCAGGAACAGACAGAAGAGAATTAGTAAAAATACAAATATAAAGTTTTTCAGCTGTACTAACAAGCAAACTCAGATGAAGGCAACGTGGCTGTTTTAACAGCCCACTCCTGTCTTCAGTAAAAGCAGTGCCTTTTCCTTTGTTGATAGCAATGTAAAAAGTTCACCCCTGGGGCTGGGGACGTGGGTCAACTGGTAAAGCACCTGGGAGCAGAGGTGCCTGAGCGAGAGGCCCTGAGTTCAAGGCCCAGTACTGCCAAAAACAACACCAGAATAAATAAAGACAAAATGATTCAACCTACTGGAAAATAATGTAGCAAAACATTGGAACATATGAGAAGTCATAAAATTGCCGGGAGCAGGGCTCACACCTGTGACCCCACTTAGCAGGTCGACTGGGAGGGTCACGGTTTGAGCCGGGGGAGACGGGAGCAAGACACTCGTCTCAACAAAATAGCTGGGACAGGCACGTGCAGGTGCCTGTCATCCCAGCTACTGGCAACACAAGTAGGCGAACTGCGATCCAATCCAGCTAAAAGCGGGAGGTCCTGTCACAAAAAGGGCTGGGGGCGTGGCTCAAGTGGCAGAGCGCCCGCTTAACAAGAGGAAGGCCCTGAGTTCAAACCCCAGTACTGCAAAAACAAACAAAGAAAAAATACCTATTAGTGAAGGGGGAAAGGAAGTAGCTCAGCAGGAGCACTCTTGCCTAAAACGTGCACAAGGCTGTGGGTTCGATCCCCAGAAATTAGTAGCTTACATGGAAAAAGAGCGCCATATGCCCACGACACTTACTATTTAAATTCTTTGATGAGATTCTTGTGAATCTTCATGCAGAAGTCCTCCACTGTGGTCCTAGAGTAAGGAAGCACCACTGGCGATGTGTAATCTGGTAACTGGCCTTTGGGTTTTGTGTAACTGCAGTAGAAAGGACACAAAGGTTGCCACTTTCTTAGAAAGGTAGGTGTGCTAAATGCAAACCAACCTCCATCACCCCAAGCTCAAACCAGGACAACCTCCACCCCGAGGAGGAAAATGTCCTCAAGAGAAGCTGGGAGGACAGGCTCGGTGGCGCACGCCTGTAATATCAACATTCAGGAGGCTGGAGGCCTGCCTGGGCTATATAGTGAGACCCTGTATTTAAAAAAAGAAGACCGAATAGGTAACAGGAACAAATTCACTTCTGTCCCCAGAAAAGAGCCAGTGTTTGTTAATGAGCCCAAGCAGGCACCATTTTGGGAGAGTCCGATGGAAGCCCTACAGCAAGGCCAGCCACGCATGAAGACTCACATTCTCACGAGTTTCAGATAGTCCCAGATCTTCTCCAGCAGGTCATCAAAATTCCAGCGGTGATGGGCCGAGATGGGCACACAGTGAGGCACCTTATAGATGATGTCCAGCTCCTCGATGGAAATCTGATCGATCTTATTCAACACGTAGATACAGGGGATGTAAACTCTACAGAAGAGGAAACACAAGGCATTTGTTTGGAGTTGCTGACAAAGCTACGGACGTGATGAGCACTACATCCTCACCCGGCCCCAATCAGCTTTGTGCTAAAATAATGACAAAGTCCAAAGATGGAAGTATACATTGAAAAGTAACAAAACTCAGGCCCTAGTTGCAGTATGAAGCCAGTTGTTCCTGGGAGAGTGGTTTGCCAGCAGGCTATGTAAGAATTTGCATATAATAAGGAGAGAGTACCACTATACACCTATGAGCACAGCACTCAGGAGGCTCAAATAAGAGGACCACAAATTCGAAGCCAGCTTTCTAGCCAGGAGCTCTGCCACCTGAACCATAGCTCTACCCCTTTCGGCTTTAGTTATTTTTTAGTTAGGGTCTTGCATTTTTGCCCAGACTGGCCTCAAATCACAATCCTCCTGATTTCTGCCTCCTTAATAGCTGGGATTACAGGCCTAAGATACAACACCCCATTTCTGATAATTAGTGACAATTTTTAAAGACTAAAAAAAAGGAGCCAGGTGCCAATGGCTCATGCCTATAATCCTAGCTACTTGGGAAGCTGAGATTGTGAGGATCATGGTTCCAGACAAGTCCAGGCAAAAAGTTGGCTAGACTCCCATCTCAACCAGTAGCTGGACACAGTGGAGCACAGCTCTCATCCCAGCTACACAGAAGGCTGAGATCAGGAGGATTGCAATTCAGGTCAAGGCCAGTCCATGCAAAACAAATTCAAGAGACCTCATCTCAAAGGAAAAAACTGGGCTTGGTGGCACGAGTCTGCATCCCAGCCAAGGAGGGAAGCATAAAATAGGGGGACCAGGCGAAAAGTGAGACCCCATCTCCAAAATAGCCAAAGTGAAGCTGCAGGTAGAGTTCAAGCGGTAGATACCTGCCTAGCAAGCACAAAGCCCTGAGTTCAAAAAGCAATGTTTTAAACACAGCCTGTACGAGTGTGGTATTCTCATGTCTAACATCACAGCTTCCCAGACGTCAGTTGCCTCGCATGTAAATATCTAACTCAAAAGCCTTGGTTGTTACTTATTTTCAAATGGGTGTCAAATAAATTCATCAAACAAATAAACAAAAAAGCAATTTAAAAACATAATATTAGGGCTGCCTAGCACGTGCAAAGCCCTGAGTTCAAAAGCCAGTACTGCCAAAAAAATACCAAAAATTGTCCAAAAGCTAATATCCAAATGCTAGGGGTAACCGTTCACAAAGTGATTTAATACTAAAGTGTTAATAGTAGTAGTGTTTCATGGAATAGTTTTGGCTACACACTTGGGTTGGACAGAATAGATGTGGCCTGGCCTTCTCTGACTTCTAGAAGGCAGCCTATGAGCTCTCACACGTATGAACTCTGTGACAGCAGAGTGGCCTACTCCCTCCAACCATCACCTGACAGAGCTGGCAGACAAAGTAATTCACAGAAGAAACTGGAATGAGGAACCTGATCGCCACAATCAAACCCCAGAGCAAGGAAGGAGGTTAGCAACTAGACTCCTCATCGTGAAAATAAAGAGATCAAGGCACTCCATGAAGACGCCAGCTCGACTGGCGTCAGAACCCATGACTTCCAGATTCCTGATCCAATACTATTTGCATCACAAAGCCTCAGATTCAAACCAGGCACCGACTACACGCTCAGTACCTGTTTCCCTCCACCACGTCGATGAGATCATCAGCCGTGGCGTCACTCCGCAAAGTCACGTCAGCATTGTGAATTTTGTATTCGGCCAGAATGCTCTTCACGGTTTCAGCGTCCAGCTCACTCTGAGGGCACTGGATGGACACAGCAAACAGTGACTGTCAGTAAGGGGCTTAGGCCAAGAACTACTGCACAGACCTGGATGATTTTGGCTAAGACAAAAACTCGTTTCTAAAGACATTGTCCTGAGTCAGACACCAGTGGCTCACACCTGTAATCCTAGCTACTAGGGAGGCAAAGGGCAGGAGGCTCACAGTTTGAAGCCAGCCCAGCAAACTGACCCTATCTGCAAAAAAAGCAATCACAAAAAAGGGCCGGTGGGGTGGCTCAAGGTAAAGGCCCTCAGTTCAAACCCCAGTAGAAAGAAAGAAAGAGAGGGAGGGAGGGAGGGAGGGAGGGAGGGAGGGAGGGAGGAAGGAAGGACATAACTAAAACCTCCAAGGGAGTATCAACGGGCTGCATTGTGTGTTCTTGTGTCCTGTCCTGTGCCCCACCTCCCATAATTCATTGAACTCCAACCCTAAATATCTCAGAATGTGACTCTATTTGAAGATAGGGACTTTAAAGACAGAATCAAATTAGAATGACATCATTAAGTGGACCCTAATTCACTACCAACCTTGCCATCACCCTGAACTCAGACTTTTCACCTCCAGAATTACAAAAAGTAGGTTTCTGTTGCTCAAGCTACACAGAGTGAATACTTGACCTCAGCAGCCATAGCAAACTGGTGCAGAGAGAAGCTTGAATGTGGAAATTCAGACATAATGACATAATAATGGGAAAGAGCTTCTGAACAAGACAGCTTAACCCTATGTCCATCTGAATTCTAGAAGGTTTCATTTAGTCAGAAGCTCTCAGTCCTCAATTCTGTAAGAGACAGCATTTCATACAGCTAACCACTCCTGGCTTTAAAGCTGACCAAGCTTCAACCTAGATCACTGCCCGGGTGCCTTCTTGACCAAAGCACCTTGATATGTAATGCCTAACGCCTGATCGTCCCTCCTCTCCAAACCTACTCCAACCAAAGAGCGACCATTTTAGTAATGAGTGTTTTTTTTTGGTTCAGGACAGAGAAAAAGTCATAGTCATCTCTGATTCTCTTTCTCTCACAACCCAGAATCTAATCAATAATTCCTATCAGCTACTTTCAGAATTTTTCCAGAATCGCTTCTTTTCTCTCTACTGTCACAACCCTGGCTTAATAAGTCATCATCAGCTCTTCACTGAATTACTGTGCTAAAGTCTTATATGGTTCCTCTGCTTTGCCTTCAATCTACTCTCAACCAATAGCATTATGGCTCCATTAATTCTGAAGTCAGATCATGGCTGCCTCGGATCAGAAGCCAAGCATTAGCTGCCTAGCTCCTGCAAAGTAAAAAGCTGACCGCCAGTAGCCCACGTCTGTAATCCCAGCTACTTGGGAGGCTGAGATTAGGAGGATCATAGGACAAGGCCAAACCAGGCAAATAGTCCTCGAGACCCCATCTCCAAAATAACCAGAGCAAAATGGACTGGAGGAGTGGCTCAAGCGGTAGAGCACCTGCTTTGCAAGCGTGAAGTCCTGAGTTCAAACCTCTATGGCCCCATGCTATGACTTCATCTCTAGCTACTCTTCTGCTTATTCACTCTGATGTTCTACAGCCACCAAAGACATGCACTTGGGACTTGGGACTAGCACTTGGAATGTTCTCTACATGAAATATTCTTTCCCCTTGCTGGGCGCCAGTGGCTCACGCCTGTAATCCTAGCTGCTCAGGAGGCAGAGATCAGGAGGATCAAGGTTCGAAGCCAGCCCTGGCAAATAGTACAAGAGACTCTATCTCAAAAAAATCCAATACAAAACCGGGCTGCAAAGTGGCTCAAGTGGAAGAGTGCCTGCCTAGCAAGTGTGAGGCACTGAATTCAACCCCAGTACCACAAAAAAAATTCACATCAGATAGACTAAAACACAGGATATTGTTTGCCAACTACTCATATAGACAGAAAATTGCTCCATACGCCCACACTACCACCGACAGAAACCCCAAAAGAGAAAAGGAAATTGCAAAAGTGGGTCTCAAGAGTGACTCCTCCAAACCTTAGTCCTTCCTGTCAGTCATTACAAGGTCACTGTTAATTTCCACATATGGGTGCACGTGCGCCTTGGTCACGACTCACTCTATCCCTTCAGTGGCCTGTCCCGGGTCACTGCCCCACTTACAGTGGCTGTGAGATTGATGCCCCCCTTGTCTTTCTTCTTAAAGCCAATGTTTGGGGGTTTGCTGTTCAAGCGAATCCCAAAGCCTTCCAGCTCATTCTCAATTATCTTCTTATGTCCCAAGGGCTTCAGGACATCCAGGACAATCAAGATCAAATTACACGTTCGGGCCACTGAAGAATCAAAAAAAAAAACTGTACCACAACAAAGTTCAATAAAGCCTTTAATACTCAAATACTCAAACAGAGGCGTTTTCCTCCTGACACTTGGGAGATAATGTTGTTTGCTTTTTTTTTAATACACACATGAAATTCTTAGATGTGATCAAAGATTTACACCACTACATACCCGGAAGTCATCACACATTCACCCAGAAGTGAACCCAACTTTGACACACCCCAGTAGAAAAGCAGTCGAAATGAAGTTACCAACTCAAATGCCAAGAGCTCAGACAAATTTAAAACAGATCTCTAAGGCTGTCTGGTTAATGTACTTCTGATCAACTCTGCTGAGAAACAATTTATAAAACATAACTGGTGCCCAGGATAAGCATATGGTTTGATGCTTTAATCACCACAGCAATCAAGATACAGAACATTCTCGTCACCTCCAAAAGTTCCTTGCCCCCTTTCCATCAGTCTTCTCCCTCCATTACTGGCCAATCACTGACCTGCTGTCTGTCACAATGGGCAATTTGTATTTTTTAGAATTTCACATAAATGGAATTACACAAAATGTAGTCTTCTGTGTTCGAATCGCTTACTCTAGCAATTTTTTTTATATTCAATGAGCCAAATTAAAGCTGGAAAAGAAAGCTGAGTAAGGAGAGTGATGGAGGAAGTTAGCCAGTAAAGAAAATCCTTGAGGTAGCATTTGGTGGAGACCTGAAGAAGGCCAGGAAGGGCACCTTCTGATCCTGTAGGAAAGTGTTCTGAATGTAAAGATTATTCACACAAGTCCAAAGACCCTGAAGCGGGAGAATCTTTACTATAGTCAATGAGCAGCCAAGAGGCCAGTGACTCCTGAAATCCAGTGAGAGAGGAGATGAACAGAAAAAGAGGTCAGAGACCAGCCACAGGCTAGTTATTTATGGCCTGTGCTGTGGCAGACTTTGGATCTCACTCCAAATAATAAGAGAAGACATGAGAAGTCAGGCCAAGAAGTGACATGATCTGACTTGCTTCCTCAATGCCACCCTTCCAGCTACAGTAAGAGGACTAGAAAGCAGCAGGATGAAAAGCGAGACCAGATAGAGAGCACAATGGCACCCTGGACCAGGAATGGCAGCACAGGTGACAAGAAGAGTTCAGAGTTGTTAAAACTCAATAGGGAAAACTGGTGCTGTTGAGAGTGGCTCATTATGGCAAGAAAAATAAAACTGGATCCCCTTCTAACACCACTCAAAAAGTAGGTAGCTTCATTTATAAAGAAAGGGCAGTATCTCATGTGTACAATCCAGCTACCTGAGAGGCAGAGATCGGGAGGATGGTGGTTGGAGGCCAGCCCAGGCAAAAGCTTCACGAGACCCCATCTCAACCAATGACTGCACACTGTCACCCTATCTATTCAGGGAAGCACAAACAGGAAGATTACCATCGAGGCCGGGCCCAGACATAAGGAAAGACCCCCCTCAAAAATAACCAGCGCAAAAAGGGCTGGTGACAGTGGCTCAAGTGACAGGCAACTTGCCTGGAAGTGCAAGGCCCTAAGTTCAACCCCCTAGTACCACCCAAAAAAAAAAGAACAGGAGGCTTACCTAGGGACCCCACCAAAGACAAAACTTAAATAAACTTCAAAAGCACAAAGCACACACAAAAAAAAGGAAAACTGGAATCAATCAAAATATCAAATTTACAAAAGTCTACATTGACTTAAGCTTACAATCTGAGCACGCAGAGACTGAGGCAGGAGGATCTTGGGTTTCAGTTCAATCTGGACTACCCAAAAAGACCCTGTCTCAAAAACAACCAAACAAACAGAAAGAAACAATTAAGGGTTTCTGTTGAACAATGATCACACTGAATAAAATGAATTGAGAGGATATTTGCAACATCCAAAGCTGACAAGGATTGAATAACTGGCAGTGCTGCCCAACAAGTTTCTGTAAAGATGAAAATACTCTGTGCTGTTCAACATGGCAGTCACTCATGACACGTGGCTACGAAGCACCCAAAGTGTGGCCTGTATGTACCTGAGGGACTGGACTGTAAATTTTATCTTAATAAAATAAAATTTTGGTTGTGTGGCTAGTGACTACTGCAATAGACAGCACAGATGTAGGATTTAAGAAAACTTTTTATTGTGATGGGTTTTTTCGAGACAGTCTCTCCAGAACCACTTGCAAGGGGCTGCCTTCCAATCACCATTTTCCTTTATCTCTCTCCTGAGTAGCTAGGATTATAGGCATAAGCCACCTGCGCCAAAATTCTTTTTTGTTGCTGTGAGAGGTTTTTGGGTTTTGTTTGGTTGGCTGCTGAAACAGAGTCTTGCTATGTAGCCCAGGCTGGCCTCACACCTGTAATCCTCTTGCTTCCAGCTCCACAGTGCTGAGATTATATGCATGCACCACCACACCCAGCATTGAGAATTCAAGAAAAAAATTTTAAAAATAATAAGAAAAAGACAGCAATTCAAAAAAGAAAATGGACAGAGGATATGAGAGTTTCCAGAAAACTCCAAACTAACATATGGATATACTAAAGTCATTGGTAATAGAGACATGCAAATAAAAACAACGGGCTATGACCACACACCTGTCATGGCAGCTAAGGTTGGACAGTGTTGGCAGAGATGAGAAGCAGCAGGAACCTTCATGCGCAGCTGGTGGGGTGCAGACTGGAACAGCCATTCTGGAGCACCCCAACACCACGTCATCTACCTACAATTGAATGTACCTGAACGACCTGCTCACGGGTCCCGATGCTAAGGAAATTTCCAGTGTGTCCCTCAAGGGGACAAATATGGAATATGTACAGTAGTTTGTGGCTACGCTGGCAGACTGGATAACCACAACGAGAAAAATGACAGGTAAACTGTGGTGCGTTCCTACCACGGAGTGTCAGGAAGACTTTGAGAGGAAAGGATTGCATGTTTGTACAAAAGAGAAAAACCTGATCATGAATCATAATGACATTAGATAAATTAAAATACGTGCAAACAGAACAGTATGTTTTGTTAAATATCTACAAAGAACAGATGTTAAACACAATAGTATGTCTGCCTACTGGAGAGGAAAAGTGGGGTACTGGGATAAAAGAAACTACAGGACTGGGGCGTGGCTTAAGGAGCAAAGTGCTTAAGGCCTCAGTTCCATCCCCAGCACTGCAAATAAACAATGTAACAAAATGAAATATAGAAATAATGCTGGGTGTTACTTAATACAAATAATGGCACACACCTGTACTCGCAACATTTGGACAGCAGAAGGCTCCTGAGTTCTAGGCCAGACTAGGCTTCAATGGCAAGACCCCTTCTCAAAACAACAACTGATCCACATTTAGACACCTTGGAGATGGACAGATCGAGCAAAGGAGACCAGAAAGGAACATGTGTGTTCATTGACCAAGTGACACAGGTAGCTCAAAGATCCAGTGATCACCTGGTGTGACCCTCTCAAGGAAATGTGTACAATAATTAGCCATTAGGTGATTAGATGTGATACAACAAAACTCACAGATGTGCTTTTTTGCTTTATTTTTATTTTTTTGGTGGTACTGGTGTCTGAACTCAGGGCCTCACACTTGCTAACCAGGCACTCTACCACTTGAGCCACTCACCCAGCCCCATAGATGTACTTGATAAAAGCAGGTAAGAGAGTTAGGAGAAGGCAGGGCATCCACTAAATAAAAACAAGATGATCAGAAAGGACAGTCTGTAGACTCAAAGTCTTAGAAATTAAAATCATAACACAGTAGAAATAAATTCAATAGCAGGATTGAAAGATAAAAGTTGAGAAAGTCTCATTAAAAAAAGAAAAAGGAAAGCTGGGCCTGTAATCCTAGCTATTCAGGAGGCAGAGATCAGGAGGCTCATGGTTCGAAGCCAGCTTGGACAGACAGTTCTACAAGATCCTATCTCAAAAAATATCCATCACCAAAAAAAGGACTGGTGGAGTGGTTGAAGGTGCAGGCCTGGAGTTCAAGCCCCAGTACCCAAAAAAAATGGAAAAAGTTGAGGGCTGGGTCCTGAGTTCAATCAAAGAAAAAAATGAGATGAAAAAGATGATTTTTAAAAAACCCGAAAAATACAAAGCCAATCCACAAGTCCATCATCTATCACAGACCTACCATAGAGAAGGTGCACAAGCTGGGCATGGTGGCACATGCCTGCAATCCCAGAACTTTGAAGGTTGAGGAAGGAAGATCATGAGTCCAAGGGCAGCTTGGACTACAAAACAAAACCCTGTCAGAAAGAAAGAAAAGGAGAAAGAGAGAGAAAAGAGCTGAAATTCAACTACACTAGGCACATTTCAAGTGCTGAATAACCACGTATCAGAACACTTCCCTAATTGCAGAAAGCTGTACTGAAAGTCCAGGAAATGTCCCAATTGGTAGAGCGCCTACCTAGCAAGCATAGGCATGGAGTTCAAACCCCAGTGCTGCCAAGGGAAAAAAAAAAAAAAGCATTTGAAGATTATTCACCAACAGAAAAGAATCAAAAGTGGGGGAAAAGAAAAATATTACCTGCACAAAAAAAACCAAAGATTTCACGACAAAAGAAACTGAGTCATAGTTCACTACTTATCTCAGCGGTGAATGAAAGTCATCACTGCATAACAAACCATGATTTTCGAGTTACCTAAAAATCGTAATATAATTTATTGGAAAAGAATGGAAGAAGAGGTATGGAATATAACAGAGCTAATTCCCTACCATAACATTAAGTCAATCGATAACACCCAAATGAATTAACCAAGAAACAGCAATATAAGCATACTATTTTAAGAAATGAAGGAAGCAGAAGGAACAACTGAAGAGTTGACAGTAGTTGTCAATGTGACAGTGAAGGTAAGGAGAGAGGGGACAGAATGGGTAGCCTTTTTAACATTTTTTTAAAAAAGAAAAGGAAAGGCATAGGTTGTCAGAAAAGCTGAATTCTAGCTCTGAATCTGCTACCAACAGTGCCTCTAGACTGTTCTCTTCCCGTCCTTAGTGTCTGCACTTAAAAGGGCATGTGGACCATGGCTGTCCGAGGTCCCTTCAAGTTTTGACATTCTACTCTGGTGAGAAGTCAGGTGAACCCACGCCCTTCACCGTGGTACAGTCCCTGGCTACAGGAGCAGCAGACACTAGGGAAGGAGTGACAGCCCAAGACGGTGGCCCTGGACCCCTCACCTGCGATGACTTGCCGGCCTCTGCCTTTCCCATCCTTGGCACCTTCAATAATACCTGGGAGGTCCAGGAGCTGTAAGATCAAAGACAGGGTGGGGGAAGAAAAAAGGAACAACCAGTTATAAATCCGAACAGACCAAACGGGATGACTTATTTTTCCTCAAGTATCCAAAATATACGAGAACCAAATCGAGGTTGGCCGTGGTGGCTCATGCTTGTGTGGTTCGAGGCCAGCCAGGCAGAAAAGTGAGTGAGACCCCCGTTCTAAATGAATAAAGTCTGGTGCCGTGGCTCCCCTCCCATTCCAGCTATGCAGGAGGCCTCAGACAGGAGGACCACGGCCTAAGGCTGGCCAGGAGCAAACAGTCAAGACCCCACATATAGGGGCAGAGGGTAGGGGGGAGCCCATGTGGCTCAAGTGGTAGAGTTCCTGCCTAGCAAGTGCAAAGCCTGGAGTTTAAATCCCAGTACCAGGGACTGATGGAGTGGCTGAAGTGGTAGCAAACTAAAAGCCCTGAGTTTAACCCCAGAATCAATCAATCAATCACTAAATCAATCACCTGGCTCAAAAAGTAGAGCACGAAGCCCTGAATTCAAACCACAGTACCACCCAAAAAAAAAAAAAAAAAAAAAAAACCCAGTACATCAAAACAAAAAAAGAGCTTGCACTGGTAGCTCACACCTGTAATCCTAGCTCCTTGGGAGACTAAGATTGGGAGAACCAGGGTGACAGGCCAGCCTGGGAAAACAGTTCATGAGACTCCGTTTGCAAAATAACCAGAGCAAAATGGGCTGGAGGTGGGGCTCAAGTGATAGAGCTCCTCCTTCTTTGCAAGTGCAAAGCCCTGAGTTCAAACCCCAGTCCTACTAAAAAAAAAAAAAAAAAGGAGAGATAAAGAACTAAATCCAATGTTCCTTACAAATAAAAAAGCATGTCACTATAGGCTTTTATATTCTATTCCTAGATGAAAGTATCTAACAACCCTAGCTCAAAGCTACGAGCTAAATTCACAGAGGTTAAGAGAGTAGCCCAAAGCACCTCATGTATTTGGGTTCAAAATCTATTATTCTACATTACTATTTTTCAAAGTTCCCCCACTTTTCAAAAGATTGAAACTCCACACAGTTTTCTTTTTGTGGGTAAAAGCTGAATCTTGACATTTCTATCACAAAAGCTTCTGTGGCCATTCTTAATCAGGCAAGAGCAACAGAGTTACAAGGAAACCCATTAAAAATGTAGACAGCTGAGACCCATGGCAGAAGGGCCATGCCAGCATTCTGACACCAACTCATAAGTCAAAACGATCCACAGGTGGCCTGGCAGAGTGGCTCAAGTGGCTCATGCTTGCCTAGCAATCGTGAGGCCCTGAGTTCAAACCCCAGTACCACCAAAAGAAAAAAACAAAACAAAACTCATTTAAATCAGATCTGCTTTACTTTAAGCAGATCTCCTATCATAGAAATATACTTCACATACCTAGTACTTGGCAGGCAGAGGCAAGAGGACTGTGAGTTCGGGGCCAGCCTGGACTGTACAAGAAGAAAAACAAACAAACAAAAACAACACTGAAGACATATATTTCACACTAAATAAACCACAATGAAAGGTAAGGTGATGCAAGTGATGGTCTTAGCTACTCAGAAGGCAGGAGGATCACTTGAGCCCAGGAGTCTGGGGCCAGGCTGCACAACTAGAGAGACTCTATCTCTTAAAAAAAAAAAAAAAATACGCTAAGGGCTCCACATGGCTCAAGGGATTGAGGATCACTGTTCAAAGCCAAGCCTAGGCAAAAAAGCTCACAAGACCCCATCTCAACCAAAAAAACCACCATCTTCTATCTAACAATGTCTTAGGAGACCAACTTCATTAGGTCTCCAGACAAGAAAGGGTCTGATCACGTTGTTTATTTTATTAAGCCTTTCTGATGATTCCTAGCTACCTATAAGAAAAAAGCCAACCTCCCTATCCCTTAATAATTCCATCCTGACCTAACTTTCCAGATTCAGCTCTACCACTCTTACTCCACATAGAATCTCACAACACAGCTAGATGTTCCCCACTACTTCTACCTGAAATATTTCTTCCTTCTCTGCTGGTGACATTCTAGTTGAACTTCAAGACTCACCTCTGAGCCGGGGGTAGTGATGCACACCTAAAATCTCAGTACTAGGAAAGCTGAGGCAGGAAGAGGAAGCCTCAAGTTTGAGGCCAGCCTAGGCTACTTCACACATAACGAGACCCTGTCTCAAAAAAAAAAAAAAAACTCACCTTCAATATCACTTTCTGCACAAAGTGTCATTTGACCCACCAGATCCTTCTCCCCTATTCCACTGGACTACTACAAAGTATTCCACCTGTCAGGCTAGACGTAAGGGCCCAGTAGATCAAAGATCAGACCTGACAGTGAGCTCCTAATGCAGTGCTTCTTAAATACACAACAACAAAAGAAGGTCTTTCCCTTCCTTGGTCTGCAGACCTTACTCACCTGGATCTTGGCACCTTTATATCTGATGACACCAGGCACAGTGGTCAGAGTAGTGAACTCATAAGCTGCCACCTCAGAATATACGCCTGCCAGGTTACTTAGCAGTGTTGACTTCCCCACAGATGGAAAACCCACAAACCCAATTCGAGCATCACCTGTCTTGGCTACATCGAAACCTAAAACACCAGTATCAAAAAGAAATGAGTTACCCTTGGTGTGTTAAGAGTCACGTAAAGTCTTCCATATTTCTGATGTAGAACTCAAGCACACAAAGTTCCCCCTATGTAAGTTCACAACAATCAATGCAGTGTTTGCTATAAAACTTATTCCTCTCCCACTTACACATGTTTTTTTAATATAATGCTTAAGGCTCAAGGATTACACAATAATTGATCAACAAAATAGGGATGGTGGGTGGGGCTTTATGTTGTACATCTTTGAGAATGGTGTGACTGACTAAGTTTTCTTTTCTTTTTTACAAAGGCTGCAAACAGGGATGGCAGAGTGGATCAAGTGGTAGAGCGCCTACGTAGCAAGCATGAGGCCCTGAGTTCAAACCCCAGTGCTGCAAAAAAAAACAAACAAATTCAGAGCCACATTTGTGGCTCTTTGAGTCCTAATCTCACCTCTCTTGGATTCAATCTATTATCTGGACTTTCTTTTTCCCTCTATGTCAATTTCTTTACCAATTTTAATCTTATTAATGGCGTAGCTTTACATACTTCTATAAGCCAATGGAAATCTATTTTGGGTCAGTGCCAGATATAAATAAATAAATTCATAGTTCATTTAGATATTTATTTGCCTCTGAAACCAGCAGACTAAAACAAAATAAATACAGTTTAAGAAACTAGATTTAGGGGATAGGGTATAACTCAGTGGTAGAGCATTTGCCTACCATATGTGAGGCCCTGGGTTTGATGTTTCCCCAACACCATTAAAAATAATAATAATAATTTAGGTTAACATAAATAATATAGCTAATAATTATAAATCTATTTTGATAGAAAAACTTTAATTCCCTTGAAACCTCATACATATATTATCTTGATAGAAATTACACCCAAAAAATATATTGAAGTAAAACACAAACCTTCTCCTGGCCCACCGCCACCACCTCCTTTTGGAGTAATGAGTTCTCTCCGAAGCTTGGCCAGGCGAGCCTTAAGCAGCCCTAGGTGATGTGCTGTGGCCTTGTTCTTCTGAGTCCGAGCCATCTGTAAGGGAGAAGACACAGTCATCAGTCAGAAGCGGTTCCCAAGGGTTATAAAACACCCAGAATGCTCCCCAGCTCTGAGAGACAGATGGTGGGGGTATTTTTTTGTGTGTTTTTTTTTTTCTTTTTTCTAGGTCCTACTAATGTCAGTATACTCATATTAAAAACTTTACAAAAGCAAAAGAACCGGCCGGGCGCTGGTGGCTTAAGCCTGTAATCCAAGCTATTCAGGAGGCAGAGATCAGGAGGATCACGGTTCAAAGCCAGCCTGGAGCAATAGTTCATGAGATCCTGTCTCAAAAACTTTATCGCAAAAAAAACCGGGCTGGTGGAGTGGCTCAAGATGTAGGCTCTGAATTCAAACCCCAAGTACCGAAAAAAAATAAATAAATAAGTACTGAGGAGCCCAGCGCCCGGTGGGCTCACGCCTGTAATCCTAGCCCAGGAAGACCCCCATCTCCAAAATAAGCAGAGCAAAATGGACAGGAGGCGTGGCTCAAGTGGTAGAGCGCCTGCTTTGCAAGCACGAAGCCCCGAGTTCAAATCCCAGTGCCATTAAAATAAAAAGTTCTCAGACAACAAGAGACACACGACATTCAGGTGGCATGAACTAGTGCCAAACAGATGTCATTACTTCCAGATCCTACTGCCGGAAGCAACAGTGTGCAAATCGGGGATCACCAGGGTACCCACAGACTGGGGGGAAGGATAAGGAATGGTGAGAACGGATCTTTAAATACGTGACCAGGTCAGCGCTGGAGCATGGGACAGAGGCGGGGGCCGGTCGCGGGCGGCACAAGGGAGCCCGGGGCACTGGAAGGGTGCAGAGGGAAGAGGACGCCGGCTAGGGGTAGTCAGACAGAAACGGGGCCGGGTCCCGACGCGGCTGCAGGGCGACCCGGGAGGAGCGACACTTCCGAAGCAAGGATGCTGGCGCTGGGAGCTGAAGCGCTCAGCTGTGTGCCCATTACCTCGGCTTCGATCTCCGCGATCTTTGCCAAAGTGCCGCTCATGGTGGCGAGGATGCGAAGGACGCAGCGGCCTGCAGTAGCTGGCTGTCTCGATTCTCACGCCAAAACCCGGTTACCACGCCACTAGCAGGCGCTCGCCTCAGCGCGCAGGCGCGGGACTTTTCCTAATTCTCGCGAGATAGTCCCGCGAGATTTCCAATCTCCTCCCTTCTCTTCCACAGACCCCGCCCCGTCCCGCGAGCCAGTGCGGTGTCATAGAGCCCGCGGGAGCTGGGGGCCAGAGAGGCCGCCCCCGGCTGACCTCCCAGAGCGCGCCGAGGGTCGCGCGCAGCTCGGCCCCGCCCCGCCCCGCCCCTCCTCGCGGACCTGCGCCCCGTGCACGGCCGCCCAGGTCCCGGCGGTCCTAAACTCCTGCTTCTCCTTTTTACAGCTGGAAGACCCCCACACCAATGGCCTCTAGAAAAAAAATAAGTATAAGAATTGGCTCACTTAGTGATCGAAGGGGAAGCGCCTGTAACACTCAAAAAAAACCAAAAAAAAAAAATGGAAACCAGGTGAGCAGTCATTAGTAGGGACATTGAATTTTTGCAGCGCAGAAAGTGCATTGGGCTTTCCTATTGGTTTTGGGGTGCTGGGGATGGACGGACCCCCCACCCCGGGCCTTGCACATGCTAAGCCACCCTCCCAGACCAGAAAATGCATTGTTGGGAGGTCTGTAATCCTAGCCACCCAGGAGGCAGAGATCAGAAGGATCAGGGTTCAAAGCCAGCCCAGGGCAAATAGTTTGAGAGACCCTATCTCAGTGGCTCAAGGTGTAGGCCCTGAGTTCAAACCCCAGTACTGCAAAAAAAAAAAAAAAAAAGTCACATCCCAAGCTCTCCCTCTCTTAACAATAGGATGAGACAGAAAGAAATGAAAAGAAGCCTTTCATCAATGTTTATATGTTCATTCATGTTTCTGCATTGGAATTTTTTATCACTTGTCGAATAAGAAAATTTTAAATTTCCAAAGACACCTTTTCCCCCCAAATGCCTTATGACAAGGAAAGGCAGCACACCCAGGAGCTGTGTGCTTGCTAGATTTGAAAGCAGCTAGCTGGTTTCTGCATCAGTGAGCTCTTGATGATAGACTGATTGATCCATAGGGGGTGGGGATGGCCAGGCTTAATCCGTCCAGCTGGTCTCCACCTAGCCCTAGGAGGGAAGTTTATTTATTTAAATTTGTAAATAAGAACTATTCCAATTTGCCAAAGACAGAAAATGGAGGTTTTATCAAGCATAAGTTGGGGGGGCGGGGAGGAAAGCTTTTACTGAAGGTCCCCTAAGAGCCCAGGACTTTCCTTCTTTTCTTTAACCTCCCCTTTCATAAATAAATTAAGGAGTAATGAGGTAATTAGATCCTGCACCATTGGTAATGGAAGAGAAAAAGAAGAGGGGAAGAAGCCAAGCTGGAACAGAGCATGATCAAAGATCAGTCTTAAAAGACAGATAAAATCAAATCAGCAGCACTTTTTCTAACTTGGAGTGCTTAAGGAATTAATTGACAATATTGTACCAAAGGATGATATTCATCTCCCCAGGCTTCTGGCTGGCCAGCCTAGTCGTTCAACAATCACTTACTGAGCTGGAGGACACAAAGCAGAAAGTAAATCAGATGCTGTCCCTGTGGTTAAGAAGAATCCATATTGGGAGGTCAAGGCCAGGCCTCCAAGCTTAGCTCAGGAGCCAAGGGCCGCTCACTACCAGCGACAGCAGGGAAAGCCGGTTCTTCCATGTGGTTAAACCCCTCGTGCCTTAGCCCTGGCTTCCTAGAAAGTCAATACATGAAATAAGGGAAGCCAGGTGAGCTTCATCTCTTGGCAGAGGAAGCTAGCTACTGTGAAATAACAACTGCACTTCTGCAAATGTGCAGGGCTGATTTGTTTTCTTGTTTGGTTTTGTTTTCTAGCTGTACTGGGATTTGAACTTAGGGCCTTACTGCGCTTGTAGGAAGGTGCTCTACCACTTCAGCCATTCCTCCAGCCCTTTTTTGTATTGGGTATTTTTGAGATAGGGTACCATAAACTATTTGCCCAGGCTGGCCTTGAACTGCCATCCTCCTGATCTCTGCCTCTTGAGTAGCTAGGATTATAAGTGTGAGCCATGGGCACCGGCCTGTTGTTTTGTTTTGCTTGTTTGTTTGAGGTGGGGTCTCACTATATAGCCCAGGCTAGCCTCAAACTAGCTGTGTAGCACAAGTCTGACCTGCAATTCACATTGCTCCTGCCTCAGCCTCCGGAGTCCTGGGATTATAGACATGCCCTACCACATCTGGCTTGTGCAGACTTTCTCTCAAACTTGTCCTCAACTTACTTTTCTGCTGTGCTGATGATCTTCTCCTACTTCTATCTAGCTAACTCTTCCTCACTCTTAGAGATTTCTGATCCTTACAGTCTCTGAGAAGGGTTCCTTGTACTCAAGTCTAGCCTGCCCCTGGCTTCCCCAGTCTCAGGTTCTTGCCCAAGCTGAACATAGTCAACCATTAAGAAAGGAGCAGTATATATCTCCAGCCTCAGCACAGGGGTGCTGCAGCAAGCTCATAAAGGTATTTATTAACAAATGGAAATTTTAAAAAGGAATGAGGAAAAAGAATTTATTTATTTAGGCAATACTGGGTCGTGAACTCTGAGTCTCACCCTTGCTAGTCAGGTGCTCTCCCACTTAAGCCACTCCACCTGCCCTGTTTGTAGTTTTCTGAGAAAGGGTCTAACTGTGTAGCCCAAGCTAACTTTGATCTCTTCATCCTCCTGCCTTCACCTCCTGAGTGCTGAATTACAGGCATATGTGACCATGTATCAGTTTAAAAAAATTTTAAGATGCAAAAAAGGGGTTGGGGGCCAGTGGCTCATGCCTGTAATCCCAGCTATTCAGGAGGCAGAGATCAGGAGGATTGTGGTTCAAAGGCAGCCCTATCTCAAAAAGACCTATCACAAAAAAGGGCTGGTGGAGTGGCTCAAGTGGTAGAGCGTAGCAAGCGTGGAGCTCCAAGTTCAAATCCCAGTACCTCCAAAAAATAAAAATAATATACAATAATTTAAAGGTGAGACCTGGGGCTAGTTGATAGAAGCAGAAATAACAAGGTGCTTCATGGGTAACCTGTGTAGCCATTTTTTTCCCTGCATGCTGGGGATGGAACGACAGTGCCGTGCACCTAGCAAGAAAGTACTCAACCACTGAGCTAGATCCCCAGCCTAGCTTATAAACGGTCAAATCCCCAGGATACCGTAGCAGCAAGGAGTAGGAAGCCCTCAGGAAGGAGAGAAAGGATAGTTAATTCGTTTTGTTTGTGGATTGCTTTTAGAAAGTTGGCTTTCCAACCGGGTACCAGTGGCTCACGCCTGTCATCCTAGCTACACGGGAGGCTGAGATCTGGAGGATCGCAGTTTGAGGCCAGTATAGGCAAATAGTTTGTGAGACCCCATCTTCAAAGTAACCAGAGCAAAATGGACTGGAGGTGTGGCTCAAGCAGGAGGAAGCCAGGTTGAAAACAATTCCTCCACACAAGCCTGTCTTCTGTTAGGTGGACAAACTAAAAGTCCTCGAAGCTCTTCACTGAATCAAGGTTGGTTTTTCTTTTTCCCTGAAGCTGGAGATGGAACCCAAAGTTTCTACATCCTGGGCAAGTTCTCTGGCACTGAGCTACACCCCTAACCCTAAAGTTGGGTTCTTCTGTCACTCAAGTAGGTAACTCCTTGACCCACCTCTAGTCACTTCAGAGCAGTGTGGACAGTGTACCAGGGACGGTGGAGGATAATAACAAGACAAGGACGACGTGCAGAGGATGGAGGTGTGGAAATACCCAGATGCAGCAATTGAGGCCCAGTGATGGAGGCTTTGCTTCCATTTCCTGCATGGGGAGCAGGAAATGTTTCTCCCTTTTTTCCCCATTGCTCCCCACTCTTATTCTGATAGTCTAAATTTCTTTCGTAATAAACTTTGCTGTTGTGTTTGCTATTAAAAAAAAAAAGGCCCAGCTAGGCACCAGTGACTCATGCCCTACCTACTTCAGAGGCTGAGATCAGGAGGATCATGGATTGAGGGTAGCCAGGGTAAAAAGTTTCTGAAACTCCATCTCAACCCATGTCTGGGTGTGGTGGTGCATGCCTTTAATCCCAGCTACACAAGGAAGCACAAATAGGAAGATCAAAGTCCAGGCATCAACTAAGACCCTATCTGAAAATTAACAAAATCCAAAATGTCTGGGGAGTCATTCAAGCAGTAGACCTGCCTGGCAAGTGCAAGGCCCTGGATTCAAATCCCAGCCCTCCCCCGCCAAAAAAAGAACAAGTTCTGAAACAGATTTTTTTTTCTTTTTTTCGGTACTGAGCCTTGAACTCAGAGCTACACCTTGAACAACTCCGCCAGCCCTTTCTTGTAGTAGGTTTTGTCAAGATAGGGTCTGGCAAACTATTTGCCTGGGCTGGCTTTGAACTGTGATCCTCCTGATCTCTGCCTCCTGAGTAGCTGGCACCTGGCAGAATTTTTTTTTTCTGAGACAGGATCTTGCTATGTAGCCCAGGCTGGTCTTGAACTCTCAATCCTCCTCCTCCTGCTTCCTGAGTGGTGGGATTACAGGCATGCACTACCAAGCCTGCCAGAAAGTCATTCCTGAATATCAGCACACATCCTGCTCCCCTCGTACCATGAATATGGTTGACATCAGCAGTCATTTTTGGGGGAAGGGATCACTAAAGGCAAAAGAGTTCTCTGCTGAGGGAAATAATTCACTTTCCCTTCTTAGGCTGGTAGCAACAGAAGAAGTGAAAAAAGAGAAAAACCCTACACTGGAATTACCAATCTATTTTGTCAAAACAGAGGTGTCAGGGGAAATAGAAAACGTGTGATCTGTAGGCTTCGTTGTCGCCTTGTTGAGACCTGAAAACACACATTGCTGGAGTTATGGTGACAGTGACAGGAAGGAAGCCACAGTGGAATCGAGAAGCCCCACCAAGCTTATAAAGTGGCAAGGAGGATAGGGACGTCTAATGAAGAGAGCAAAAGTAAAGAAGGAGACGAGGAGGAAATGATGAAGCAGAATCAAGAGTAACACCCAAGATCGCTGTCATCACATAACCAGCTG